ATACAGTGTCATGAGGGATTCTGTTGACAATCGGCTGGGCAGGCTTCCACTAAAGCGGTTGTCGTTCAGCGCTCTGAAAGGTGTGTTCCATGTGCGTATGCGTGGAGGAGACATTGGGGAAGCTGACGACAGGAAGAGCGGTGGACAGCCGTACACGTTACAAACATAGCGTAACGGGTACGGCCATGTGCGCAGTGCAAGGGTGCAAGCATGCACCTCAGCAGGCGAAGCAGACGCTTGTTGATGCCATCTACATGGGCGTACTTGAGGACACCTCTGTCTGTGCACGTGTTCATCTTGACGCTACTGCTTGCGTTGCGTCACACAGACACCATCGCACTTAACAAGGCGTGCCTCAGCATATGGCACATCGAGTCAAGACGTGACTCTGCTGGTGCCATAAGCCACATGAGCGCGAGGGTGAAGTGTGTGATGAAAGTATCAAATAAAAGATGAACAGAAGGGAGACGGGGGAAGGAGGGAGGACGGCGGCAAGGAGGAAGCAAGGAACGGAGGGGGTTGAGCGAGTGCAAGCTTCTGCCCACAGTTGATAAATGCTCGCGAGGGTGAAGAGGCCGAGGGGGATTTTCCCATGAAAGTTGTTCTTGTCAAGAAATCTGGAGAGGAGGGGATGTGGAAGTGTAAGGGCTGATGTGACATGAGGACATCCAATCTCGTCTCCACAAGATCAAGAGATAAACGGGGAGGACGGGAAGGGAGAGGGGGGGGTGGGGAGGGAGGGCATGGGGGGGAGAATCAACTTGTGACAGTCAGGCAATTTGCACCACAGCACGATAGGACCAATCAGACAGGTCATTCATGGTCACGACCTGCGCGGACCATCCTGCGTCAAAATACCGACTGATAGGAGCTCGACACGATACGTGCATCATGGCTTTCCAATCCAATACCCTTCATGATTTGTAAAGAATATTCACACAATGACAAAGCCCTCCAACCAAGGCCCTTCATGGCCCCCTGTGGCCCTTCATGGCCCCCTGTGGCCCTTCATGGCCCCCTGTGGCCCTTCATGGCCCCCTGTGGCCTTCATGGCCCCCTGTGGCCCTTCATGGCCCCCTTTGGCCCTTCATGGCCCCCTGCGGCCCTTCATGGCCCCCTGTGGCCCTTCATGGCCCCCTGTGGCCCTTCATGGCCCCCTGTGGCCCTTCATGGCCCCCTGTGGCCCTTCATGGCCCCCTGTGGCCTTCATGGCCCCCTGCGGCCCTTCATGGCCCCCTGTGGCCCTTCATGGCCCCCTGTGGCCCTTCATGGCCCCCTGTGGCCCTTCATGGCCCCCTGTGGCCCTTCATGGCCCCCTGTGGCTAGACATGGGCATGAGCCGAGCCTGGCTCGGCTCGAGTCGAGCCGGGCACCAAACATGCCTGGCTCGGCTCGCATTTCTGTGGGCGAGCCAGGGCTGTCTCGACGGCGAGCCGGCTCGGCTCGACTCGCCTAGCATGCGCTTAAGCCAACAGTAGTGTGGGTGGAGCCTATGCAAGCGCGCGTTGTTAAGAGTGGCGCGGGCTGCTTAAGATTTCTCACGCGAACTAACCTAATGAGATACTCCTAGGCGCGCAGAATTCTAGGGTTCGCGAAATTGACAGGAAGTGGATTGTGAGGAGGAAGGAGGGTGCAAGAGGTTAGGTTGGAAGTTGTAGATGCAGTAGTGTGCAGTGCGGTTGAGCGTGGCAAAAGGGTTGGATGTGTTTTTGGTCGTCAAAGTTTGGGGTTGCGACTGGTTGAATTCGCGAGGTCGCAATGTCGCGGGAAAGAATTCCGCGTCAAACATTTTGGGCGAGCGTTTAGCGTTTACCCTATAAACGCAGCGTTTAAACGATAAACGCTGCACCGCCAGAGCGATTTCGAGAACATAGACTAGGAGTTGTTGGCGGGAGAGAGAAAAGGGAGACACGTTTTGTCGAGGGGGAAATTTAACCTTGAAATCGAGTGGCGAGCCACCTGGCTCGAAATCGAGCCGGGGACGAGCCGGCTCGACCCCGGCTCGACGAGGACATTGTGTATGAGCCGAGTCGAGCCGGCTGGCTCGACCTAGCCGAGCCGGCTCCGCTCGAGTCGAGCCAGATCCCGAAAAGAAAGGCTCGGCTCGTCATTTTGGCAAGCCGAGCCGAGCCGAGCCGGATGTGGCTCGGCTTGTGCCCATGTCTACCTGTGGCCCTTCATGGCCCCCTGTGGCCCATCATGGCCCCCTGTGGCCCTTCATGGCCCCCTGTGGCCCTTCATGGCCCCCTGTGGCCCTTCATGGCCCCCTGTGGCCCTTCATGGCCCCCTGTGGCCCTTCATGGCCCCCTGTGGCCCTTCATGGCCCCCTGCGGCCCTTCATGGCCCCCTGTGGCCCTTCATGGCCCCCTGTGGCCCTTCATGGCCCCCTGTGGCCCTTCATGACCCCCTGTGGCCCTTCATGGCCCCCTGTGGCCCTTCATGGCCCCCTGTGGCCCTTCATGGCCCCCTGTGGCCCTTCATGGCCCCCTGTGGCCCTTCATGGCCCCCTGTGGCCCTTCATGGCCCCCTGCGGCCCTTCATGGCCCCCTGTGGCCCTTCATGGCCCCCTGTGGCCCTTCATGGCCCCCTGTGGCCCTTCATGGCCCCCTGTGGCCCTTCATGGCCCCCTGCGGCCCTTCATGGCCCCCTGCGGCCCTTCATGGCCCCCTGTGGCCCTTCATGGCCCCCTGTGGCCCTTCATGGCCCCCTGTGGCCCTTCATGGCCCCCTGTGGCCCTTCATGGCCCCCTGTGGCCCTTCATGGCCCCCTGCGGCCCTTCATGGCCCCCTGTGGCCCTTCATGGCCCCCTGTGGCCCTTCATGGCCATACACGTTCCTTCAAGGTCAAGAAGAACCGTCAGGAAAACTTGTCGCGACCGCCGCACGACAATCCAATTAGAAAGCGAAGGGGAAAGTGAACGGCATTGGCAAGAATGACATTGGTAAAAATGACCTATTCAGGCAGCAGGTTCTTAGAGATGACAACAAATGCCAGGGAAGACATACAAGTACCACAGATTTGTCAGCTTAGATATGCCGTCAGGAATGGGCCCGTGGAGCTCGTTTTGTCCAATATCTCTGCAAAAGAGAGGAAGAGAGAACGAGAGAGAAAGGAGTACATCAGGGACCGGTGCCTGGGGAGGGGACTGAGTAGTCTAGACTCTAGCTGGTCCTGTCCCGTGCTTGTTGTTGGTTCCCCTAGCGGTTCTGTTACCGCTTCTGCCGTGAGTTCCGTGTTCTTTGCATAGCTTGTACTCAGGTTTTATCAATGGCCAGGACCGCTTGAGAGAGAGAAATTGAGAGAGAAACATTCCGCCACTCTCTAGAGTGACCTTCATGGCCTTTCATGGCCCTTTATGGCCCTAAAAACTTATTTGTATTCCCTCTCCCGACTGCTCATTTGTTGACACATTGGCAACTGAGAACGATTGGAAAACCAAGTACTTTCAGTGGGTGGGAGATTGCCTAGACTTGATGATTGTGTGCATGTGTGGTCCCACGTACAAGGGAGACCGTGGTCTTAGACAGAAAACAAGGAAAGTTATTCCATGCACTATGTTGGATCAACACTTCGGGAGGGCATGTATGTAGGTTCTGGGACGTGGAACGTTTTGTGGCTGCAAGGATGTTTGCAACTAGTTAAGACGCACAGACTAATAAGATTGGTGAGCTGCAGCAGAACAGCAGGAAACCGCCCTTCAAAACGGTTGGCTCGAAGATTCCTGTTATACCGAAAGGGAATGTTATACCAGGCAAGACAAGCTGTGAACCGAATAAGTCAAACAAGCTGGCACCATCATGTCTGTCAGCCTGGAGGTGGGAAAAAAACAAAACAAAACAAAACAAAGACAGGCTAGAGAAACAAAATGGCGCTTCGTTTAGTACCTGTTTGACAGAACAACTTACAGTCCCGTGAGTAAAGGCAGGGATGAAAGATTGGGGAAACTACCCGAGAACATGTTGTAAGAAATGTCCCTGTAATGGAAGGAGGAAACTCACTGTTGCTTTCCTGCACAATACGTGATCGCGAGGAAATGCTAATCAGCGACAATGAACTAGGAATGACCACCTGGGTGGGTGTTATCGGGATGCTCCTCACGTTTCCGCACTGTTATGATACTAAACCACACATATTGCCTGTAATGAGTCTGCTTTTGAGTCGACTCAAAAGCACACTGTTATGATACTAAACCACACATATTGCGTGTAATGAGTCTGCTTTCGAGTCGACTCAAAAGCACACTGTTATGATACTAAACCACACATATTGCATGTAATGAGTCTGCTTTCGAGTCGACTCAAAAGCACACTGTTATGATACTAAACCACACATATTGCGTGTAATGAGTCTGCTTTTGAGTCGACTCAAAAGCACACTGTTATGATACTAAACCACACATATTGCATGTAATGAGTCTGCTTTTGAGTCAACTCAAAAGCACACTGTTATGATACTAAACCACACATATTGCGCATGCAAGGAGATACTCGCAGAGATACTCGCGTGGGAAGGTGGTCTAGACTAGACACATCGCAACATATGGATGGAAAACGAACAAAATTTCCAGACGAAGTTGAGGCGAAAAATAACAACGATAACAAGGAAACAAAACAACCACTGCTGTAGTCACTGTGCCGTCAAACTCTCAATAGTGGAAAGCATAGGTTTCGAGAATGCAGTTACAATGTATCAAGCCATGTCATTTTCTCAACCACATCAAGCCCTGAAGTCAGCTGGTTGGATGCTAACATCCTGAAACGAGGAAGCACAAAAGAGGAGGCAGAACGAGAAGGATCAAAAGAAGGAGATGCGAGAGAAAGGGAGGGAGGGCGGGCAGGGTAGGGCCGTAGGGGGTGGAGAGTTCTAACCTGGGATTAGACATGGGCAGCATGCCGAGCCTGGCTCGACTCGGCTCGACTCGACTCGCCTTTTTGGCGAGTCGAGCCGGGATTTTTTTTTGGCCGGCTCGACGCCGGTCGAGCCGCGCGGCTCGGCTCGACTCGTCGCAAATTTCATGGCGAGCCAAAGTCGAGCCGGCTCGACTTTGGCTCGAATTTGGCTCGACTGCTGAAGCGCACGGCTTGCCAGCGGGGGGTCAAAATTCGACCGCCCTGGAAGACGAAAATCCTTTTGGCGAGTCGAGCCGAGCCGAGCCAAGGTCGAGCCGACCCTTGGCTCGACCCTGAACCCCCGAGTCGAGCCAACCATTTTGGGGCAGCCGGCTCGGGTCGAGTCGAGTCGGCTCGGCTCGACTTTTACCTGGCTCGAGGTCGAGTCGAGCCGAGTCGAGCCACGCTCGGCATGCTGCCCATGTCTACCTGGGATCATAAGCAGCTAATGCATCTGGTCTCAAAGGCCAACTCACAGTTATAAGGTGACTTATGAGTCGACTCAAAAGTCACCTCGTGGGCAGGGAAGGGGGTAGAGAGTTATAACCAACCAGCTAATTCATATGGTCCCAAAGGCCAACTCACAGTTATCACTGTGGTTCCATGACAGCTTGGCTCAAGCCGGGGTCTAGCCAGGCCCTAGCCGAGTCGAGCCGAGCCGGCCGATGAATTTTGCCTGGCTCGGCTCGCCCCCAAGCAGGGGGTGGTTGCGAAATTCGAAATTGACCCACCCTAAGGGGTCAATTGCGAAATTCGCAACCCCCTCCCTGAGGGATCTATTGCAAAATCCGCAACCCCCTTCCTCCCTGAGCGGTCAATCTCGAAAAACGCAACCCCCACTGTGAGGCTATCGTGCAGAGTTCGTGGTTTTTACCAAATGCCATAATTACCCCTTCAACTATTTCACTTCTAAAACCACACAACTCCCTGTGTCTCCCCACAACACAATTCTGGTCTTTTAAACATTGACAAAAAAAGCCTCATCACTGGCAGCAGCATGCAAATGTTAACTGTAGAGAAAACAGAGGGGTCACGCCATACAGAGTAAACAGGTTGGTGAGGCTTGTAAAAGACTCAGGGATCGCCCCTGTGAAGTTGTTTCCAGACAGGTCCCTGGCAGCACAACGAGAGATTAAACACACGAATGAAGTGCCTCTATCTAATCACAGGCATCACGACGACTAGGCTAAGGAAACGGGACAGTGCAAAGAGAAACATCATAGGAAGGAAGAATGTGCTACCATTGTAGTTCAGAATCCGACGAGCTTGCTTCACCCCTACTACTAATTTTCCCACAAAAGTGGGTCGCAAAATGCACCATGGGGTGAGGTTCTGCCCGCAGCATTCCCACCCAAGGCATGGCTGCTTTGATAGGCATACCAAGTTACCACCCACACCACTACCTACCTACCTGCTCGTGCTCCACTTAGGACCTCACTCTAGCTCAAGTGCTGTGGCATCCACACACTACCAGGTGAGAAGCATACTTTTAACCAGCTATTCTCAGAATAAGAAGTGGGCTCGCAGCAACAGGGTGATACAGCAAGAAGCCATATTTGACAGCAATACAACACAACAATGGGCCCTCACAGGTTTGAGAGGCCAGTGAGGGAGCCGAGGAAGGGAGGAATGGGACCAGAGAAGTCATTGCTGCCGAGATCACTGCAAGCGGGTGAAGGGCCCTGAAGGCTGTTAGAATCAAGCAACCTCTTCTAGGGTATTGGAAGGAGAGCTCGACGGAGATTGAAGGAAGGCGAAGCTGTGTTTAAATGAATGTATATACGAGATATAGAAGGTTCAAGGTTGGGGTGAAAGCCCCTGCAAAATCTAGGTCACTCCTGAACAGTAGACCGAAAATTAGTTTACGCAAGCCCTGACGATGGAAAAATCAGCAGGCCAAACCAAACCGGAAGACAATGCTGTGCATATGACCTTCGAGGGCAGATGAGAGACGGCATTTGAGGGGTTCGGGAAAGCCAGGTACAGGTTGCTGAGAGCGGTGGAGAAGACTAATGGGATGGTGCCGTCCATGCTGTTGGCATGCAGGCTCCTGAGGTGCAGAGAGCAGAGAAACATGGAATTAGTCATGTTTGAACAAATGTGTACCACAGGACACCCACAGGACGCAAACAGGATATACAAAAGCTGCCTTCGAGCATAAAGGAGTGGATTTTCTCAGTCAGCCAGGCAACTGAACTGGTGGAATCTTCTGCATGTGAAACACATACAAGATGAGACGGACAAAAAGAATTGTGATTATCACATGATATCCAAGGTTCCTGGTACCTCCAAGTTTGACTGAACCCTTGGCATCTCAAAGCCTTGCTTAAGTGGCGTTCAAATACATGAGCAGACGAGTCAACTTTTGACTCGACTACAACTCGACTGCCTCGGGCAAGTCGCTTCTTTTCTTTTCTTTTCTTCGCTGTCCCGACTCGACCCGAGTCGAGTCGAGTCGAGCCAGCCAAATCGCAAGTATTTTGCACCTCGCCATGCGAGTAGGCCGAGGTGGCGCCTAGCCCTAAAATTGTGAGGTAGTATCGGATAGGCTGGTTTAGGGCAGCCACGGCTCCTTCCACGCTTGGTGCTAGGAGAGTCCGCCTTGACGAAAAGGCGAATTCGCTTTGGTCTAAATCACTTGGGCAGACCCGCTATAGGCTCGTCGCGCTCCCGATATTTCAGCCACCATGCGCCGCTGAGGGGTACCCTCTCTAGCGGGGTCATTGGGTGCTCGAAAAAAACACCCCCTAAAAACGAGCCGACCTTTGGCTCGACTCAGTCCAAGTAAGCCTTTGGCTCGGGCGAGTCAAAGGCTGATTCGATCCCCAAAACCAAGTTCCGAGTCAAGTTTTCGAGGTCTCCGACTCGGGCCGACTCGGTTTTGACTCGCCCCCGTTTTGGCTCAACTCGGAGCCGACTAGGGCGAGTCGAGGCTCGACTCGCCCTTTGCTCATGCCTACGTTCAAATGACATCCATCCAAGGCTCCTGCCATTTCAAAGTTACTCTTAACCTTTGAAGAGACGAGCCTCCCGTTTCTTGCGTCTTTCATCCACATGCGCGAGCAGGTCAGACTCAAAGGGTATTCAAGCCGAGCGACTTACAGCGTGTTTAATGAGGTGAGGGCAGAGAAAGTGGCTGGAATGGAGCCCTCAATGTTGTTCTGTGTCAACGACCTGTGGGTCAGATGGCAAGGGACAATAGACACAACGGATGGCAATTGAGGGGGAGGGGGGGGAGGGACGGGAGAGAGGCAACGATAAGGATTATTGTGAGCTGACGCACGACACCTTGAAGACCACGCTATGGAAGGAAACAACGAGAGGTTCTTAGGTTCGCTCCTGAACGAACATGTAAAGACGGAGAAGGCCATGGACATGGGCTCTTTGGTTCGATGGCAGCAGACAGGAATGGCGAATGGGAAAGCGGGCAGCGAGACTTGGCATCTGTGAAAATACGCATCGTGCATCTGCGGAACGATGCATCTGGCCTTCACTAGTAGACACGGAGGAAAGAAGGTCTCACAAATAGGTGAGGTGGTTCAGAGAGGTCCAGTAGTCAGGGAGGGAACCAACCAGTCCATTGCCCGATGCATCACTGCCAAATGCCCATGGACGAGGGAATTGCAAAAAATGATATTAACGATTCTCTGGGTAGGTTACCCCATAGACTTCTCATGGTTCTGGCATGGCATCCAGTGCAACTTGGCTCCCTCCCTTAGGTGTACACCTCCTATTAGACATGCGCAAGGGCTGGGCTGAGCTGTGGCCCGACTTGGCTCGAGCCTGGGGAGGCGAGGCTCATCCTCCGCAAGGGCTCAGCCAAGCCAGGCTCGAGTCGAGCCGAGCCGCCAAGGCCCCCGGTTCGTGGCTCGTGCATTAGGGACAACTGGAGGGCCGGCTTGTTGCGAGCCGGGCCTGTTCGATGCTCAAGCCTTCACGAGTCTGGCAGCTCGTGAAAATGTGGTCGCCTTTGCTATAGTCACCTTCCCCGGGCTTCAAGCTTGAATCAGCGGCCCAGAGGTAGGAAATTTGAGCGCACATCTGAGAAATGTCAAATTTTGAGCTGAATTTTTGACATAAAATTCGACCAGCGCAGCCCCCTGAGCCACACTGCTCGTCGACGACGAGCCCGTTGAGCCGACGAGCTGGGCTCGGCTCGTTCAAGCGGCGAAAACGAGCCGCAAGCAGCCCGCACGCAGCTCGTCGACTCAGCCCATGGCCGGCCTGGCTTGACTCAAGCCAAAACGACAAGCCAAGCTGCCGGCAGGCATGTCCCTCTGCTCATGTCTAGCCAGCACTCCCCTGCATGGCATGGCATGGAATGGCAAGGCATGGCAGACTTCATTAGAAAATGCATGGTAGCGGCACTCACAAGTGCTGTAGCAGTGTGAGGTGCGAAAGGTCCTGCGGCACGACTCCACTGCGGTACTCATTTCCATGAAACACGTCACTGGCAGGGGAGGGACAGTATGGTGAGCGAGAACGCAAAGGGCAAGGGTGAGAGAGGCGATAGGCGAAAGGAGAGAGTGGGAAAGTAGGAGATCTAGAGAAAGGGGTGCATGCATACTGGTTCAGAACTCATGGCTTAACAATTATGTTGCGGGAGCATGAAGAAGAATGAAGACGGAAAGAAAAAGATTTACAAGCATCGCAAAGGTTTCAGCTGAAGAGCAAGTGCAGTGCAGCGCAGCATACGTACAGGTATCGTAAGGCTGTCAAATCCATGACCCAGCGAGGGAACTGAGCGCTTGCTAGGCTGCTTAAATCCCTGGTATTCAGGGGGGAGAAGAAAAAAGAGTGGAAACGAGCACAGTGAAGTAGACATGGGCACAAGCCGAGCCACACCTGGCTCAGCTCGGTTCGACTCGCCTTTAAGGCGAGCCGAGCCTTCTTTTTTGGTACCCAGCTCGACTCGAGCTGAGCCGGCTCGGCTCGGCTCGCGCACGTGAAATCAGGCGAGCCGGAGTCGAGCTGGCTTGAGCTGGCTCGATTTCGAGCCAGCCGGCTCGCGGCTAGGGAAAGGGGGGTTTCGCGACTGTCAAAATTCAGATCGACAACCTCCCCCCCCCCCCCCAATATTGTTTGCCAACCCTAACCTCACCCTGTCGCGCTAGTCTATCAACCTCAGCCAGCCATATTTAAACCGGCAGCTCCTCCTGATAGTTTTGTAAGATGTAGGAGCAGAAGATCAGCTAAACAATCTGGATTATCCCCGATACTAGAGACCCCAAACCCCGTGGCCTCAATTGAGAGCCCGCACAAGCCCCCCTGACGAGCCGAGCCGGGGATCCTGAGAACCCGGCTCGACCGGCGAGCCGAGCCAGGCTCGGCTCATGCCCATGTCTACAGTGAAGTGAACCACGAACGGACAGGAGCATGTGCATCGAGACACCAGCGTGAGATTTACAGGCGAACAATGTAAGAAGACGGTCTCAGCAAGCGGCCAATAATGACCAATGGCCAATGAAAATAAAACGGATGGAAGGAACACACCCTTAGCCAATGACCTTTGAGGCACCTCAAAAGCCATCTTTCCTGGTGGTCAACGCCCTCGTGGAATTAGGGGCTGGCGCTTATGGGAGCAACAGGTTTCCACAGAAGGGAAGAGTTCGCTTATCTCTTCCTGCACTCACCGAATTCCTTGACTGAACTGCTTGCTCAAGACCGAATTTCCCTGTACTGGCTAGTGTTGCTCATGGTTTACTTGCACTGCATAAACGGGTGTGCTTTTGACTCAAGCATCAGCAGATGCCAAGGAGGAGGGAAGGCCGAGCAGGGAGCTCACAGATAGGTGAGGGAGGTGAGGGAGCCGAGCAACACTGGCAGCTCCCCGGTCCAAACGACACCTGAAATGGTCCTGCAAGGGTGCAAAACATAAAATGGAGGGTCTAAGGACAACTAGAACAATCACTGACGCGAAATATTATCCTGAAAAGAGAATGGTGTGGGTGGTATGGTATGCACTTCCGTGGGAAGATTTGATAGGCTGTGGCAGAAATGCTTTTCCCTTGAATGCCCATTTGAATACAGTGAGTGAACGTCTATAACCAAACTTGAATTCGCAGCCAACGCCTCCATCAATGCTTGTGTGAAGATCAACACCCTCGGCTACTACTCAAAAGAGAGGGAAAAGAAAAGAAATTAAAAAAAAAAAAAAAAAAAAAACCCTTAATCTATCAAGACTCTCTTTATGTTTCGTGCGCTAACTCAATCCATCTTTCTTACAGGCTTTGCATGGCTCTGAGGGCGGTGAGGAAGGTGAGGGCTGACAGATCCCCAGTCACGCCCATCATGCGATTCATTGAGCTGGTATGGTGTGTTATGACCCAAGGGACGTAAACAACAGGGTAGCATGGCTGCTGCTTAAGACTCAAATGCTGTAAAGTCCATGTGAGAGGTCACTGTAACTGCGCCCCGAACAAGAATGACTTCTGAAGAAATGCAAGGGAGTTTTAGTAGGAATGGCAGAGGAGCATTGGTTGGAACGACTTCTACGCGTAAGGCACCTCTTAACACGAAAAAAGAAGCATGGATCAAGCAAGGCAGCAGCACCAGGGGCGCTAGGATTATGAGAAGCACAGAGGCGAATGAAAATGAAGTGTGTTGATCGTGTAAATAGTTTTTGTTTTTGGCATGCAGCCATCATGGCAGTACAGAGTGTGCAGGTTGGTGAGGCTTGAGAGCCATGAGAGGTCCTCCACTCGCCCAGTGATGTTCTCTGCACCGATGTTGCTGCGAGAGGGAAACAGGGTTGGAGGTTCGTGGTTGGGGAGAGGTGGGGGGGAGAAAGGAGAGAGTGAGGTAAAAAGAACACCCACAGATTTGCAGAGGTGCTATTGGCTGTGGAGAAACAGACAGCAACATGGGGGGGAGGGAGGGGAGAAAGAGCAGGCGGAGAAGCATAGGAAGGCTGGCAAGCACAGTGAAATCGACCAGCAAGTAAGGAAATAAAGACTGCTGGGAGAAGACGAGGTCTGTAGTAGGTGTTGATGACGGTAGAAGTAACTGTCAACACAATGGCAATGGTATCAACCGTTGATGATGCCGACCATAAGAAGGGGTAAAATCATTCACGGAAAAATGGAAAACAAGACACGATCAAACTGGCAAACGGCCAGACAGGAGAACTGACAGGTATGTGAGGCGAGAGAGACGGGCGAGAGTGGATGGCAGGCTCCCACTAAGAGAAGTAACAGAAATGTCTCTGAGTGAGAAGCGGAGTAGACCAGAAGAAGAGAAATTCTTGGGCATGGAAGAGGCACAGCACAAGGGTGCCAAGGGGAACGGATCAAGAGCCATCCATCCCCCCCCAGTGAGTGAGAACTGAGACTGCTTCTGAGGCGCATAAAAAATAGAGGCACAAGGGTGCTGCCAAGGGGCACGGAACGGATGAAGAGCCACCCATCCCCCCGGTAAGTGAGTGTCCTAGGCCCTGGCTCCTTTGATAGAGCTAGGAATCAAGCCAAGATACAAAGCTCAAACCCCATTCCTTGCTTCCAGAAGGTCAGGTCTGAAAAAACAGCGGGAGACACCGGCGAGCTTGGCCACATGTGGCATGTGATGTGACCCGTTTGGGGTTTACATGACACAGCGTGCACGTCCAAACTTACAGGTGTGCGAGAGTTGAGAGAGAGAGAACGGTGGATGGTAGAGAACCAGACACTGCAGTATTAGACACGTCCCTGCAGCAGGGAGTTTACACAGGGGAGGACAGGCGGAGCAGGGAGTAAGGGTGAGAGAGGCAAGACGGAGAGGGAACTCAGATTGTATGGGAGAGAAGAGAAGTGGAAGCGAAAGTAAAATGGTTGGAATACAGGGGCTGAGGAGAATGTAGCCTGCATGTGTGCGGGAGAGATGGCTAACTGTGATGGGGTGGTGTAACCAGAGAGAAGGTGTGATCGTGAGACCTCTGGAAGTCTTTTCACATGCCTCAAAAGAGAGGACGGGCGCACTAAGGGATCTCCAGCTGTGCATTTTTCACGGAGTATGTTTCATGAGGTCCCTCGATCTTCATTTTCAAGGAGTAGGCGTTTCTTTTGCCTTGCCACAGTGTCTTCTGTTGCAAGAACTAAGCAGGTCGCAATATACCCCTACAAAGTTCAAGGCGTGCATGCATCAGGGGCTTCAGTCAATGGGAAAGCCATGTCGCATGACTCTTGGTAGCATAAAAATACCAAGAATGCATGGGACAGCACTGTAGTTTGGGTGTAAGAATAGAGTATAATCGTTCGTGTAGATAGGGTTATGCGATGCTGGGAGTTGGTTGTACAGTACCGAATTTCAGTATAGGAGGTTGGCGCGGAGGTGGACAGTTGGAAAGGGAGGATAGCTGACGTCATCCAGGTCAGCAGGGGTGCGAGCGACACGGAGTGCGGGCATGCAGAGAGGGGATTGGTGCAGGGATGGCGCAATTACCGGGGGCCATCATGGGAGAGAAAATCCCGAAACGGCTTGCGGCTAGAGCATTTGGGAGGGAAGGGTTTGGCCCAGGAGGCATCCTCTAGTGAGGGAGAACAAAACCGAGGACGAGCTATCGCTTTGTTACTTTGTTTGTTCTCTCGAACACCGTGGGAAGACTTGTATGCCTTGTTGCTAGTGGAAGCTTTCTCGGGCAAAGGTCAGATCCACTATGAGAGGATAAATAAAGGAGAGCTAAGTAGACGAGGTGGTAGAGAAGGGACCTCGGGATCTTTCCATCATGAAATTGCCCCCAAGAGGGTGCCTCAAGAGGTGGTAACATACAAGAGGTGGTAACATACAAGAGGCGACAAGGGCAGAAGGTGAAGGATCCAGGGTAGCTAGCATTCGGAGGGCAGAAGGGGAGGTGAGCCCGGGAGAAGGAGTGTGTGCGACAGCCAGCGTGGATAGACCACACCAACCAACCATCCCAACCATGCCACCATGCCAAACATACTTGCAGGCCACTTGCACGCCCCTACTACTCCTGCCTGTGGCCGTCCTATGGGGTACGCGTAGGGATGCGCATATGTTTGTATTGAAGAAGCCTCACTACCAGTTCTCGTCTTTAAGCACGGGGATGCACGGACGCAGAGAGGCAGGGAGAGGGTGCAGAAGCGAGGGGTGGGGAGCACTCACAGCACGCGCAGGGAGGGTGGCAGAGCGAGGTGGGTGATGGAGCCGTGGATGTAGAAATTGTCTCCCAGCACACTGACGGGCGGGGGAGGAAGGGGCAGCAGGGGCGGGGAAGGAAAGGGAGAGGTGGCGGGTGGTGGGGAAGGGAGGGGTGGGGGGGTGGGGATTAAAGGCAGAGGATGGAAGGTTGGGTTGGGTTGGGTTGGGGTGGCTGAGTAAGCTTGGCAAGCACGATGTTTGGCTGGTGATGAGGTGATTAACTGATTAAACATTAAGGCAGAGTCTGCTCGAGTGAATGGCGCACGCACAGTACTCTTCACAAAGGAACACGAGGCTCAGAAGGGCCGTGGTCATGTGAAGGAAAGGAAGGGAGGAAACAGAGGGGGGGTCGAAGGGGCGGACAAGCGAACGGGCGAGCACAGGGGAGCTGAGAAGGCAACTCGCCTTCTAGAATTCTCAATCACGTCAAGTGGTAGCTTTGGAGGATACTGAGAGGAATCGAGGTAGAACAGAAGCGCCAGAGGACGGGATGAGAGATAAGGACGACGGCGGTGGGGGCGCAGCAGCAGCAGCAGCAGCAACAGTAGCAGCGGCAGTAAGGGAGGCAGGGACTTACAGGCGTCTGAGGTAAGGCATGGTGGAGAAGACCTTGAGAGGCATGGTGGCATTGATTCCGAGATCAGGCAGGTCGCTGCAGAGAGTGAGGTGTTGGATTAGAGAAGCACAAACATGCACGGGAGGGATCGAAGCAAGCACGCAGGCAAGTGCAGGGCGTACACACCCATGCACACGCACGCGCGCGCGCACGCACGCACACACACACACACGCACGCACGTATGCACACACGCACGCACGCACACGCACGCGCGCGCGCGCGCGCACACACACACACACGCAAACACAATAGGCATGAGCACTTGGTGGTGGGGCCAATGCCATTAGAGTCTATGAATGCGGCACGGTAACAAAGTTGTGCATGGTGCATTGGAACATAACCACACTGATCCCTCACACTTCCCTTAAGCTTCTGCCTCAACAGACCTACAAGCGTCCTCGCTGCCCTCCCAAGTGCCTAAGACGACCCACCCACACATGGTCCCTCCCTCCCATGGTCCTCCTCACTTGCTTCCCCCAGACCACAGCGACATACTGGACATTGACGAAGTTCTGCTTGGTTGGTCACAATGGCCATCTGTGGGTACTCTAAGACGTACATGGCTACGATGAAGCCCTGCGTGTTGCATTGGACGTAGTCCCACTGGTCGCAGCGGCGAGAGCGGTTGGAGTTGGTGGGCCAGAGGTGCCAGGCGGCGTTGAGGACCAGCAGCGCACGCACTGGCAGCACGCAGGGGCAAGGCAAGGCCGGCGCACAGAGCAACGCACATCCAAGCAAAACAGAAAAGTATACGAGCCCAAGAAAACAATGTAAGTTGTGGAGCGTACGGCGATAGAAGAAGCCTCAGTACAGAACATTTGGGAGGGAATAGGCACGGAAAATGGGTGTGGGGATGAGGGAAAACGCAGGACGATCGAGGAGATCAGTAAAGAGCACAGGGAGACACAGGGGAAGCAGCAGGTGTGGGTGGGACTCACGCTGGCTGTCAGTGAGCAGCGGAGGAGTCTCCCGCGAAGGCGCCGCCTCAAGGAGGCTGATGCGAGGCTGATTCTCTCCATGCGACCCATGCGAGACGTGCGACCCATGCGACACGTGTGACACGTCACGTGAGACGCTGTGTTGCGGGCGAGTTGTCAGCCAGTTCACCGCGGTAATCCCCGGGGCGGAGAGGTTGTGAGGAAAGGCGGCCGCGGAGAGGATTGAATGCGGTAAGAGGACGAGTACTAGGAGAGCGACGTGAAAAAAGGACGCCGCTATTAGCGGGTAGTTGTGTGAAGGTGAGCGCTGGCGGAAAAGCTTGCGGAAACAGTGAGACAACGGTCGCGCCATGATGACATGCGAAATGTCTAATTGAAGTGAACGGGTTTCCGTCAGCTCTGTCGGCTGTGAGAATTCCCTCTTCCGTCGCGTGTGTTGGCCTGTTATCTAAGATAATTGGTCAGCGGCCGTTTTCATGAGAGCTACTGACATTGGGGACAAGATTCGTAAAAGAGCTGCTTGTTGCGACTGAAAAACGGGGATTTGCTAGAGCTTCAGGAGAAGGAGTGATCCGTACGGGACGATAAAGACTTCTGAGGAGAACAAGGAATGGGGACCGCGGAAAGCTGCTAAGGAGCCGTAGGGTGGCAAGGAAGAGGGCTCAAAGCTCGACGGAAACCAACGTCCTTTCTGAGCACCGTGCATAAAGAGCACTTTTGAGGGCGTGACAAAAGAGTTCAGCCACAAAAGAGTTCAGCCACACTGGTTTCCTCCTGGGATCTCCTTAAAGCCCAAAAACAAAAAAAAACTGTGAGACCGTACCCAACCGTAGTATAAGAAAAATAAATCGCACTAACAGGTAGCTCGCCTCACTGAACCACACTAAATTCAACGCCCACCACACACCCTTCATCTGCGTGTCAAAAAGCTTTGCCACTTTGCTCTGCTGTTTCCAAGCAGTATGCTGTCGAATCTTCTTGACACAGCACAGTCCCGCACTGGGTTATTCTAGCAGTCGGCACGCCGGCTTCGCTCCACATTCTGTGTCAGTGCATTTTCCCTCCAGGGCCGAGCCGAGGTGGAGGGGTGGTGGAAAAAGTCGGCTTGGTTGTGGGGGCAGGTGGGCGGGGAGAAGTTCTGAATCACAAACTTTTTACGGTACTAACTGTAGTGATGTTCACAGGAGAAATAGAGGCTCCTCGGTTTGCTGGGACGACTAGGCAGTCGGTGTGGTGCCTCTTCTCCCTCGCAGACACACTTACATAAATATTATCCTATCCAGAAATTATGGGTACTCTTACAGCAGAGCTTACGGGCATCAAGTCTTCTATAGTATCTAGTTTCCCCAGAAAGCTGCAGCCGAACCTAGGAAAGAGGTGTCGTGTTGAAGCTGCCAACAACAGTAACCCATCTCAGGTGACTGTTAACTATTGATGGAAATATTGATACTACACTGTATTCGTTTACTGTATTATGGATTCTAATTTGCTCAAGGGAATCATAAGGCAATGAAGCACGTGTTATTGTGACCAGACAAAGCTTCAAGAAGAATTATTCATGATTAATTCAATTTCAATTAACACTTTTATCTTTCTTACTATTCGAGCAGATGAGATGTATAGTTGCAACCAAGGACTATGTTATGATACTTATATTGTTTCGGTGATTTGAGTTAGCCATCCATCTATCTGTTTCTTGTTGAAAGTCATGTCTGCTGCTTACCCTTTCCCGAAGTTAGTTGTTATGTGCTGCAAATGGGCAGTGTTTGTGATAGAATGTGGAAGTCGTTGTCAGCACTGAGAAAACTTCAGTAGGTTCTTTCAGGAACGCCTTGAAGCGAATTCTTCTGGTTCTGAAAAATTCAGTAGGTTCTCTCACCTCAACGCCACACAACCGCCTGGCGTACAACACCACAGCGCAGATGGCGGCGAGATTATCCGACGAGGAGGCGGAGGAGGAGGAGATAGAGCGGTGCCTGCGCGCCATCATACAGCTGCCGCGCTTTCGCGTAGGAGCCACCGGCGGCGACGGCCGTCCTCCCAGCTCCGGCGGCGACAGCGGCAGCGTCGACTGGCCATTCCTCGCGCAACAGGTAGCCGTCACCGATCGATCTTCATGCCATCTCAATTCTCGATCCAGCTTCCCCCCACTCCAACCCCCCCCCCCCCAACCCCCCCCGCAACAAGCTATTCTTCCGTTCAACACCTGCAGCGGACTTAGTACTAGAAGTCGATCCTCCACCCGAGCCTCCGTTTTCCCCTGTTTCGCAGGTGCGGCGACTGCACCAATTCATTTTCCTGGACCACGTGGACGGTCCAGATGCAGTGGGAGAGAGAAGACACCGCAATCATGAGCACCAGCAGCAGCAGCAGCAGCAGCAGCAGCAGCAGCAGCAGCAGCAGCAGCAGCAGTGGCAGCAGCGGCAGCAGCGGCGGCGGGAGAAGTGGGAGCACCAGGTGCTACCCCACCTGAACCGTCTCGTTCACCGCCTCTTCTCGCCCTCCGCCCACCGCTCTTCCCTCTCCCGGCCCCCGCCCGCTGCCGCGCCTCTCCTCGTTGTAAGCTCCCCTCACTCTCCTCACCCACACTCTGCAGGGTGTAACGATAGGTCTCTTCTCTGGACGAGGGCTCGCTTTCCTCCATAGTAAGCGAGCGCCCCTCTCTTTTGGACCTCTAACGCTCACCTCTTCTCGTCTCTCCCGTGACCCGTCCCATCCGATCCCCTCTCCCTCCACTCCGCCACTCTCCCCGTGACCCGTCCTCCCATGCTTCTCTCAGGCGTCGCTGCGTTTCTTCCTAGCGGCAGGGGAGGAGGGGCTGCTGCCTCTAGACATGGCGCTCAACACCCTCATGGCCTCCTGCCTCCCCTCGTACGCCGTCCCTCCCTCCCACCTCTCGCTCGCATCCCCCATAACTGCCTTTCCTGCTGAAACCCATTGTCCTCCCTCCCGCAAGCAGCCACCTGCAGCCTCCCTCCCCCTGGCTGTTGCTGTTCCCTTCCTCCGTGGTCACTTCAGTTCAGTTCACTCTCGCCTCAATGTGCTTGGGTCACTTCTGTGTTAGGTTTTTGAGAATTCTAAAAAAGCTAACACACCTGCAGGCTCCCCCTGGCTGCTGCTGTTCCCTTCCTCCGTGGTCACTTCAGTTCAGTTCAGTTCACTCTCGCTTCAATGTGCTTGGCTTGCTTCGCCCCTTTTTTGTGTCCCCCACTCCCCCGCCTGATCCACGTCCACATGGGTCACTCTCTGCCCCTGCCTCCACTTTCTCTCCACTTTCTCTTCCATCCCCCCCTTCTTCCCCCCCCCCCTCCTCCACGTTGGATTCTTCTATCTCCCACTCCCCTCTCCTTTCTCCCCCGTGTGTTCAGCTGGTTCTGGGACCCCCTGGCAGCGCGCGAGTGCTTCTCCTTCTTTGCCTCCTCCCGCTTGGCCCTCCGCCAGTCGCACCCCCGGATACTGCAGCAGGTGCAGTGGGAAGCGCCCTCTCTGCTTTTGAGTCGACTCAAAAGTAGTCCCACCCCCCCGGATACTGCAGCAGGTGCAGTGGGTGGGGAACACCCTCTGCAATCGCTTCCCAACGTTCCTTGCACCAAATTATGCTTTTCCATTCAATCTTCCCCCCCCCGTCCTCCTCCCCTCTCCCACCCCATCCCCACCATTGCTGCGCTCCTCCCCGCTCTCGTCTTGTCCTCCGTTTCCCCCTGCAGCTGCTCCACATGCATGCCTCTCTCTTTCCCCTTTCACCTCTCCCCTCTGTCACCTCTCCCCCCTCTCATCTCTTTGCCCTGCGTTGCTCTGTGTCATATCTCCCTGTTCCCGGTCCCCCTTGCCGCCCGACAGCACCTTCCGCTGCTGCTCAAGACCCTGGCATCCCATGGCAGCATGTGAGTCGATGCACATTTCACGCACAGCATGCTTCAGAATTGTAACTCCTTATGGAAATTCCCCAAGCTTTATCGCCTGTTCCTGATTCCCCAAGCCTCACGCCCAAAGCGTCAGGCTTTCACAGCTCATGTTCCTCTCCTCCTCGCCCTCCTCCCCTCGCCCTCCTCCCCTCGCCCTCCTCCCCTCGCCCTCCTCCCCTCGCCCTCCTCCCCTCGCCCTCCTCCCCTCGCCCTCCTCCCTCGCCCTCCTCCCCTCGCCCTCCCCCCTCGCCCTCCTCCCCTCGCCCTCCTCCCCTCGCCCTCCTCCCCTCGCCCTCCTCCCCTCGCCCTTCTCCCTCGCCCTCCTCCCCTCGCCCTCCTCCCCTCGCCCTCCTCCCCTCGCCCTCCTCCCCTCGCCCTCCTCCCCTCGCCCTCCTCCCCTCCTCCCTCCTCCCTCCTCCCTCCTCCTCCCCTCCTCCTCCCCTCCCTCCTCCCCTCCCTCCTCCCTCCCTCCTCCCCTCCCTCCTCCCCTCCCTCCTCCCCTCCCTCCTCCCCTCCCTCCTCCCCTCCCTCCTCCCCTCCCTCCTCCCCTCCCTCCTCCCCTCCCTCCTCCCCTCCCTCCTCCCCTCCCTCCTCCCCCTCCCTCCTCCCCTCCTCCTCCCCTCCCTCCTCACCTCCCTCCTCACCTCCCTCCTCCCCTCCCTCCTTCCCTCGCCCTCCTCCCCTCGCCCTCCTCCCCTCGCCCTCCTCCCCTCGCCCTCCTCCCCTCCCTCCTCCCCTCCCTCCTCCCCTCCCTCCTCTCCTCCCTCCTCCCTCCCTCCTCCCCTCGCCCTCCTCCCCTCCCTCCTCCCTCCCTCCTCCCCTCCCTCCTCCCCTCCCTCCTCCCCTCCCTCCTCCCCTCCCTCCTCCCCTCCCTCCTCCCCTCCCTCCTCCCCTCCCTCCTCCCCTCCCTCCTCCCCTCCCTCCTCCCCTCCCTCCTCCCCTCCTCCTCCCTCCCTCCTCACCTCCCTCCTCACCTCCCTCCTCCCCTCCCTCCTTCCCTCGCCCTCCTCCCCTCGCCCTCCTCCCCTCGCCCTCCTCCCCTCGCCCTCCTCCCCTCCCTCCTCCCCTCCCTCCTCCCCTCCCTCCTCTCCTCCCTCCTCCCCTCCCTCCTCCCTCCCTCCTCCCCTCCCTCCTCCCCTCCCTCCTCCCCTCCCTCCTCCCCTCCCTCCTCCCCTCCCTCCTCCCCTCCCTCCTCCCCTCCCTCCTCCCCTCCCTCCTCCCCTCCCTCCTCCCCTCCCTCCTCCCCTCCCTCCTCCCCTCCCTCCTCCCCTCCCTCCTCCCCTCCCTCCTCCCCTCCCTCCTCCCCTCCCTCCTCCCCTCCCTCCTCCCTTCCCTCCTCCCCTCCCTCCTCCCCTCCCTCCTCCCCTCCCTCCTCCCTCCCTCCTCCCCTCCCTCCTCCCCTCGCCCTCCTCCCCTCCCTCCTCCCCTCCCTCCTCCCCTCCCTCCTCCATTCCTCCTTCCATCCATACTCCACTTCCCTCTCTGGTCCTCACACTCCCCCCCCCCAGCGTGCTGCCCCAGTTCACCCAGCTCATCCCAGACCTGCTCTCCTCCTCCTCCTCCCTCCATCCCCCTCTTCCTGAACCGCCTAATAAATCCTCCCCTCTGTTCTGTTCCCCCCTCCCCCCTCCTCCCCCCCAGCGTGCTACCTCAGTTCACCCAGCTCATCCCTGACCTGCTCTCCTCCTCCTCACTCATCCCCCTCTTCCTCCGACTCCTCGACCTCCCAGGTACCACCACCCTGTGCCTGCATGTACGTGCATATGCCTGAGGGTTGGTGTGCTTAGAGCTGTTGTAAACAAGCGTGCCTGAGCTTGGTTGTCCGTTTGTTGATAGATACTTGCTCGATTTCACACGCACTGTTTTTGTTGTGTAGTGTGGTGGGTGGGTGGGTGGGTGGGTGGGTGGGTGGGGATGCATGACTGTCTGTGTGAGCTTGGTTGCTGAATGACACGGTTCTATTCTACTGTCTACACGCTCACACCTGTCTTCTGGCTTGCTTGATTCGATTCTAAAAACTTGCTGCTTTCTTTCTGCCACCTTTTTCTCTGCTCCTGCTCTCTCGCATTGCTGCCTTGCATTGCAACTTAAAACCCTGATACATCTCACGCAACCCCCACTTTGTTCGCACTACGTTGTCATTCCTCCACCTCACCCTCACCCCTCCCTTGCTCCCCTCCTCCCCTCCCCCACCTCCCCCACCTCCCCCACCTCCCCCACCTCTCCCCCCACCGTCCCCCCACTCCCCCTCGCAGACTGGCCATCGTGCTGAGCTGGGCATATGACAGCCGGCATCAGGCGGTTTTCCCTCACGCCTGCAAGGAACTAAGCCAGGACTCCGTTGCCAATCCCCGTTTCACCCTGCCTTCTCCCTCCTCCTCACATCTTTCACCCACCTCCTCCCCTCCCATTCCCTCTCCCCCCCCCCCCCTCACACTGCTGTGTGTAATGAGTCGATTTTTGAGTCGACTCAAAAATCGGCTCATTACTCACCCACCTCATCCCCTCCCATTCCCTCCACCCCCCCCCCCCCCCCTCACACTGCTGGCCATCGCCCTGGGCATGTCAGCGGGTGCGGGCGGCAAGCCGTCCTCCTTTGTCTCATTTCCACAAGGAACAACAAGCCACGTTTCACTCCTCTGTCACTCCCCGTTCCACCTCGCCCCTCCGTTCTCCTCACCTGTCTTGCCTACCTTCCCCCCCTCTTTCTCCGCGCAGTGCTAGCCATCGCCCTGGGCATGTCAGCGGGCGGCAGGGCATCTACTCTCATGGCTGTGGCGGTGGAGCCAGCTGCTGATGTGAGGCCAGGGGGATATGGGGGGCTGGGGTGGTTTGGGGGTTGCTAGGCGTTGTTGGCGGTTTTGGGGGTGGTTGGGTGTTGTTGGGAGTTGGTGGTGGTTATTGGCGGTTATCGGGGATGGTTGGGCATGGTTTGGGCGAGCTCGGTGGTCACAAGAGTTTGAGAGGCGGTGCATATCCCTTGGCACTGCACCCACTCTTATTCATGCCATGTCATCCCATAACCATCCCATTACCATCCCATAACCATCCCATTACCATCCCATAACCATCCCATTACCATCCCATTACCATCCCATTGCCATCCCATTACCATCCCATTGCCATCCCATTACCATCCCATTGCCATCCCATTACCATCCCATTGCCATCCCATTGCCATCCCATTGCCATCCCATTGCCATCCCATTGCCATCCCATTACCATCCCATTACCATCCCATTGCCATCCCATTACCATCCCATTACCATCCCATTACCATCCCATTGCCATCCCATTGCCATCCCATTGCCATCCCATTGCCATCCCATTGCCATCCCATTGCCATCCCATTACCATCCCATTACCATCCCATAACCATCCCATTACCATCCCATTACCATCCCATTGCCATCCCATTGCCATCCCATTGCCATCCCATTGCCATCCCATTGCCATCCCATTGCCATCCCATTGCCATCCCATTGCCATCCCATTGCCATCCCATTACCATCCCATTACCATCCCATTGCCATCCCATTACCATCCCATTACCATCCCATTACCATCGCATTGCCATCCCATTGCCATCCCATTACCATCCCACTACCATCCCATTGCCATCCCATTGCCATGCCATCCCATTGCCATCCCATTGCCATCCCATTGCCATCCCATTGCCATCCCATTGCCATCCCATTACCATCCCATTGCCATCCCATTGCCATCCCATTGCCATCCCATTGCCATCCCATTGCCATCCCATTCCCATCCCATTACCATCTCATTACCATCCCATTGCCATCCCATTGCCATCCCATTGCCATCCCATTGCCATCCCATTGCCATCCATCCCATTGCCATCCCATTCCATCCCATTACCATCCCATTGCCATCCCATTGCCATCCCATTGCCATCCCATTGCCATCCCATTGCCATCCCATTGCCATCCCATTGCCATCCCATTGCCATCCCATTGCCATCCCATTACCATCCCATTACCATCCCATTGCCATCCCATTGCCATCCCATTACCATCCCATTGCCATCCCATTGCCATCCCATTGCCATCCCATTGCCATCCCATTGCCATCCCATTGCCATCCCATTGCCATCCCATTGCCATCCCATTGCCATCCCATTGCCATCCCATTGCCATCCCATTGCCATCCCATTACCATCCCATAACCATCCCATTGCCATCCCATTGCCATCCCATTGCCATCCCATTACCATCCCATTGTCATCCCATTCCCATCCCATTGCCATCCCATTGCCATCCCATTGCCATCCCATTACCATCCCATTGCCATCCCATTGCCATCCCATTACCATCCCATTACCATCCCATTGCCATCCCATTGCCATCCCATTCCCATTCCATTACCATCCCATTACCATCCCATTACCATCCCATTACCATCCCATTACCATCCCATTGCCATCCCATTGCCATCCCATTGCCATCCCATTGCCATCCCATTGCCATCCCATTGCCATCCCATTACCATCCAATTGCCATCCCATTACCATCCCATTACCATCCCATTGCCATCCCATTGCCATCCCATTACCATCCCATTACCATCCCATTACCATCCCATTACCATCCCATTACCATCCCATTACCATCCCATTACCATCCCATTACCATCCCATTGCCATCCCATTGCCATCCCATTGCCATCCCATTGCCATCCCATTACCATCCCATTGCCATCCCATTGCCATCCCATTACCATCCCATTACCATCCCATTACCATCCCATTCCATCCCATTACCATCCCATTACCATCCCATTACCATCCCATTGCCATCCCATTGCCATCCCATTGCCATCCCATTGCCATCCCATTGCCATCCCATTGCCATCCCATTGCCATCCCATTACCATCCCATTACCATCCCATTGCCATCCCATTGCCATCCCATTGCCATCCCATTGCCATCCCATTGCCATCCCATTGCCATCCCATTGCCATCCCATTGCCATCCCATTGCCATCCCATTGCCATCCCATTGCCATCCCATTGCCATCCCATTGCCATCCCATTGCCATCCCATTACCATCCCATTCCATCCCATTGCCATCCCATTGCCATCCCATTGCCATCCCATTACCATCCCATTGCCATCCCATTCCCATCCCATTGCCATCCCATTGCCATCCCATTGCCATCCCATAACCATCCCATTACCATCCCATTGCCATCCCATTGCCATCCCATTCCCATTCCATTACCATCCCATTACCATCCCATTACCATCCCATTACCATCCCATTGCCATCCCATTGCCATCCCATTACCATCCCATTACCATCCCATTACCATCCCATTGCCATCCCATTGCCATCCCATTGCCATCCCATTGCCATCCCATTGCCATCCCATTGCCATCCCATTGCCATCCCATTACCATCCCATTGCCATCCCATTGCCATCCCATTGCCATCCCATTGCCATCCCATTGCCATCCCATTGCCATCCCATTCCCATCCCATTACCATCCCATTACCATCCCATTACCATCCCATTGCCATCCCATTGCCATCCCATTGCCATCCCATTGCCATCCCATTGCCATCCCATTACCATCCCATTGCCATCCCATTACCATCCCATTACCATCCCATTGCCATCCCATTGCCATCCCATTGCCATCCCATTGCCATCCCATTGCCATCCCATTGCCATCCCATTGCCATCCCATTACCATCCCATAACCATCCCATTGCCATCCCATTGCCATCCCATTGCCATCCCATTACCATCCCATTGCCATCCCATTCCCATCCCATTGCCATCCCATTGCCATCCCATTGCCATCCCATTACCATCCCATTACCATCCCATTGCCATCCCATTACCATCCCATTACCATCCCATTGCCATCCCATTGCCATCCCATTCCCATTCCATTACCATCCCATTACCATCCCATTACCATCCCATTACCATCCCATTGCCATCCCATTGCCATCCCATAACCATCCCATTGCCATCCCATTGCCATCCCATTGCCATCACATTGCCATCCCATTGCCATCCCATTACCATCCCATTGCCATCCCATTGCCATCCCATTGCCATCCCATTGCCATCCCATTACCATCCCATTACCATCCCATTGCCATCCCATTACCATAACCATTCCCATTCCCATTCCCACTTCCCCCCCCTCCCCTGCACCCCTCCCTTCGCGTCGTGGCACCAGAGGGTGCTGGCCTCACTGCCGTTGTCCTTTTCCCTTCCCGTTCTCACTCCCCTGTCCTCCCTCACCCTCCCCCCGGCTGCTTCCTCCTCCCCGACTCCCCCTTCCCCATTCCCCATGATCCCTTCCCCCTTCCGTCTTCCCATTTCCCCCTGCCTTCTCCCCCCCCCTTCGCCGCCTCATGCGTTGCCAGGAGGTGCTAGTGCTCATGAACTTTGCCTTCACAGGCACGGCAGGCAACGACAGCGAGGGCGACAGCGAGGGCGACTCCTTAAGCATGCGCATAACTTGGAAGGAAACCCTGGTCCTCCCACGACGCCCAATTCCCCCTCCACACCCGTCGCCAGGAGGTGCTAGCTCTCATGGACTTTGGCTTCACAGGCACGGCGGACAACGACAGCGAGGGTGACCCCTGGGCCATGCCCAAGCCCAAGGCGCCTGCAAGCAAGGGACCACCAGATGCTGCTGCTGCTGCTGCTGCTGCTGGGGGTGGGGGTGGGGGTGGTGCTGGTGGGGGTGGTACTGGTGGTACGGGTGGGGCTGGTGGTGGTGCCGGGGGTGCTGCGGGTGGGGGTGCCGGGGGAAGGGGAGGGGGGGGTAAGAAACCAGGGGGGGGAGGAGGGGTGGTGGGTGGGTTGGGTGCAGGGAGGATGGGAGGGGAGGGGGGAGTGGAAGGGGGTATGGCGCCGGCGGCACTGGCAGTGTTGATATCGTGGATGCTCATAGATGAGCTGGCTGCGAGCGAGGCAGAGGTGAGATGTGAAGCGAGGGCTGGGTGCATGCATGCTTTTGAATGTGGAATCGATGTGTTCTGAGTCGGTTTAGAATGGCACTGACAGTGCTGATATCGTGCATGCTCATACACGAGCTGGCTGCTGGGGAGGCCGAGGTGAGAGGTGGGAGCTGGTTATGTAAAGGGCATGATTATTAAAAAGAGAATGAGGCCTTGAGAGGGATATGGGTTCACTTGACTGCTCTTACAAAGAAAACGCGCTCTGCATCTGCACTGCTCTGCCCCTGTTCTCCAGCCAGGTGGGTTCAAGCAGGCAGCAGGAGGCAGTGATGTGGCGCCTGCCAGGCTTCTCCCAAGCGCTGCAAGCAGAGGCCAGCAGACAGTCCGCAGGGGCAGGAGATGGCCCCATGGGAGTGAAGGGCCTGTCTATATCCCTCCGTACCCCTCAGTACCGCTCTGATCTTGCTGCACTCTCCCCATCACTGCCACTATCAGGTGGGGTCGAGGAGACAGCAGGAGGCAGTGATGTGGCGCCTGCCAGGCTTCTCCCAAGCACTGCAAGCAGAGGCCAGCAGACAGACTGCAGGGGCGGGCGAGGGATGGGGGAGGGATGGGAGGGATGAGAGGGATGGGAGGGATGGGAGTGCTGCAGGGGGGGAAGGGGACGCGAGAGGGGGAATGCAACAAGGAGGGGTTCAAGGGGAAGGGGGAGACGCAGGGGGAGAGGCAGGGGGAGGGGCTAGGACGGCACAGGAGGGGGAGGGTGAGAGGGGGAGAGGGAGGGGTGGGTGGGAGGAAGGTGGAGTAGGGGAGAGGGAGGGGCGATGGGGGGATGTAGGGGAGGGTGGTGGTGGTGGTGGTAGTGGTGGTGATGCTGGGAAGGGGGCTGGTAAAGTGAGGAGTGCGGCAAGGAAGGATACTGGAGGAGGAGCAGGAGGGGAGGGAGGGGGCTCTGGCTTAGGTTCGCCTGCCAGTGCCGCCCCAGCAGCCATGACACCATCAACACCAGCAGCGGCGGCGGCAGCGGCGGCAGCAGCGGCAGCAGAGGCGTGGAACGAGGGGTTTAGGGATGACGCTCGGGAGAACGAGAGGCGGTTAAAGGAGTGCCTGGGCATGGCGCCACATCTGCTGGATGCGCTGCTGGAGACCGTGTTGGCAGGCATGGGGCAAGGTGAGAAGAGCAAGGCGCAAAAAAGCGATGGTCGTTTTAAACGGGCCGTTTAATACGATCGTTTTATACGGCCTTTTTTTGAAAAAAACGCCGTTTTTTTGTTCGAAAACTCCAGTCACAAATTTTTTATTAATCAGTCTAAAAACCTCATGGCACTATCCCTGAGGCATACTGCACTGACTACGACAACAGATTCGCCATAAAAGAGGTGAGTAGAGCTCCCTACCCCTATCGCGCTGCCCCTACCGCCCCCCCCCTACTATTCCTAATCCTCCTCCACTTTCCCTGTGAGCAAAGCTCCCTGCCTTCCTCCGGCACCTAACCCCCCCCTTACTACTTCTACTCCCTCCTCCACCTCCTCCTCCTCCTCATCATCCTGACTTTGGAAAATTGTGTCAGCTCGAATCTGACTTTGGAGCGACACCAAAATCGAGTCAGCCAAACCAACATACGCGATATACGTATACAATTGTTGGGTACAAAAAAAACGATCGTATAAAACGATCCCTTTTTTGCACCACATCAAAAAAGGGCACATCGACCGCTTTTTATCGTTTTAAACGACGGAATCTTACGATGTCGTTTAAAACGACAAAATTTTGAAAAAAACGCCGCTTTTTTGTGCCTTGGAGAAGAGCATGGGGGGGAAGGGGTTGAGTTCAGCCGTGAGATGGTGATTATAAGGGGGGAAGGTCGGAATGAGTGTGGCTGCCGGAGTGCCGGGGCATGGCGCCGCACCTGCTGGACTCGCTGCTGGAGACAGTGCTAGCAGGCATGGGTCAAGTCAAGGTGAGAAGAGGGTGAGTTGAGGGGTGAGATGATGCTAAGGGGTAAGGTTGGAAGGAGTGTGGCTGCAGGAGTGCCTGGGCGTGGCGCTGCACACAATGGGGGCAGGTGAGAGGTGGTGTAGGGGCAGGTGAGGAGGGTCCGAGTGTGCAACACTGTCAAGAGGTCATGCATGAGTGTCAGAGGTGGCACTGGCCAGAGCTGCAAGCTCTGCAAGCTCAAGGGGGTGGCTGTGCTGCACTCTGACAGCTCGACTCGCCATTCTGAATTCTCACAACTCAGCTGTTGTTGCCCCCTCACCCTTGCTCGCTCACTCTCTGCGAGCCCTGGGTTTGCTCGCTGCTGCGCGTGCAGATGAGTGGAGGGCGCTGCTGCCAGTGATTATGAGCCGCTTCGATGCACTCTTTCCCAATGGCGCCTACCAGCACCAGGTGCAGTATGCTGCCGCCCCTAGCCGGAACTCTCTAGGGTGTCATCATCTTGTTGCCTGAGTGCTTGCTCTTTTCTAAGGGTTCTCAGCTCTGCACTGCGCTGCTCTTTCTCCCTCTTTCCCTCATCTCCTCTGGCCCTTCTCCAACTCCTCTCTGGTGCAGTGCAGCAGCTGTGCATGTGTACCAAGGTGACTTTTGAGTCGACTCAAATGTCACAGCAGCTGTGCATGTGTACCATGCTCGTGGTGTCTGATCTCGAGAGTGTGACCTTCTCTGCTGCTCTTCCACCTTCTCTCCCCCATTCCTGTGCGCTCTTCTGTGATGCTCTCAGGTGCAGCAGCTGTGCCTGCATACTATGCTCGTGCTCTTCAGGGTGTGCCCCGCCCTGCTGCTGGCTGTCCAGGTGACAGTAATGGCGCTGCCACATGCCATGCACTTCCACATGCCATGCACTTCCACATGCCATGCACTTCCACATGCCATGCACTTCCACACGCCATGCACTTCCACACGCCATGCACTTCCACATGCCATGCACTTCCACACGCCATGCACTTCCACATGCCATGCACTTCCACATGCCATGCACTTCCACATGCCATGCACTTCCACATGCCATGCACTTCCACATGCCATGCACTTCCACATGCCATGCACTTCCACATGCCATGCATTTGCACATGCCATGCTCTTCCACTTGCCATGCACTTCCACATGCCATGCACTTCCAAATGCCATGCACTTCCACATGCCATGCACTTCCACATGCCATGCACTTCCACATGCCATGCACTTCCACATGCCATGCACTTCCACATGCCATGCACTTCTACATGCCATGCTCTTCCACATGCCATGCACTTCCACATGCCATGCACCACCCACACCCCACGCTTTGTCACATCACAGCCCATGCCCATGGGCACTCAGATCCAACCTTTGCCATCTCCCACTCATTCTTTTCATTGCCACTCCTCCCTGTCTGCTCCAAATCCCCTTTCCCCTCACCTCCCGGCTAATACCCTCCCCACCCCTCCCCCGGTCCCCCCACTTTTCCCCCCCGCTTCACCCTGTCCCTGCCAGCCCACCATAGTGCGCACCATCACTGCTCCAATCACATCCACGGCTCAGGTACTGCATGCAGTTTGTGGTTGAGTTGAGAGTTCTCGAGGACCAGCTCCAGCTGCATGTTTTCGATGCAACACCTGGGCGCGCACGCATACAATGCTTGGGCATGCTGAATGGCAGCCACGGCTCACCACCACACTCCCACCTGCCGCAGTGTGTGTACCAGTTTATCATGCCCTGCCAGGTGAATGTGTATCACCTACCAGTTTCGTTCCGCAACCTCGTCGCTGCCCCCCCCTCCCCACTCTGCTTCCCCTTCCCCAACCCCCTCCCTCTGGCCCCATGGCAGCACACCCTGGTGCTTCACCTGTGCTGGATTGCTGGCGAGTACGCCTCAGCTGCTTCCACCATCGCCACAGCAGCAACCGCTACCACTGCCACCACCACCAAAAGCCCCACGAGCAGCAGCAGTGGCGGCGGTGGTGGTGGTGCGGGTGTGGCAGGGAGGGGTGTGGGGGGCAGTGGCTTGGGGCAGCAGCAGCGGCCGGGAGCAGCGGCGGAGTCTCTTTTTGAGGCGATTGAGCTGCTGCTGTTCGAGTCCGTCGCTGCTGCGAAGTGAGTTGGTGATACTGGGTGGCAGGAATGTTCTTTCTTACACTATTGACGCGCACGCAGAGCTAGCTGCTACGTGGGTGCGGCCGGGAGCAGCGCCGGAGTCTCTGCTCGAGGCGGTTGAGCTGCTTTTGTTCGAGTCCGTCGTTGCAGCCACGTGAGCCGGTGATACTGGGTGACTAAGTTGGGAAATACGCGCATCAAGTATTGTACTCTAGCGTTTTAACGCTAAGGTACATACGCTGTACGCTCCATCAAGGGGGTGGTGGTACGCTCAAGTACGTTGGGCCGGGCAGGGTGAAAAATGTTTCGGGCAGGGAGCAAACAATAGGTGGCTGGGGAAGCTGACGAAGACATAGCTGCTGGCTAACGGCGTTGGAAAGGAAATATCTTCTAGAGTAAAAGCTTGCAGATGATTCTCAAATTGGCGGAGGGAAGATATGCCACTCACCTTTGGCGCAGGTGAGTCTGTCGTGCAAACGGATGGGTTGAGGCTAAGAGGTGTTGGGTACGATTGGGGGGCAAAAGGTGGTTGGGGACGAGATTGAATTTCGAACTTCCGACCTCAATTTCGAAGGGGCTGCTTGCGAATGTGACAGAACGCGAATAGATTTCGCAAATCATTTTCGGCTTTTTTTTTTCGGGCTGCCCGGGCGTATTTTCACGAATTTCAAACCGATACGCATAGTATCGTATTGTGAAGGGTCTATACGCTGTACGCAACCTTACGCCTTGCGTTTTTTCCGACTTAGCTGGGTGACACATCTGCTCTGTGAAATGTCAAGTCAAGGGTTTGAAGTCAGCTCCAACGGAGAAGCCACACGACGTGCTTCAGCTCATGCAACCCCCCCATTCATCCCTCTGCCTCACTCTCCTCCCTCTCCCTCCTCTCCCCACCTTCTCCCCCTCCCCTTCCCCTTCCTCCCCCTCGCTCATCCAGGCTAGGAGCGGACAGCTGCATGGGGGGAAGAACCAGGGCAGTGGCGGTGCTGGCACTGTCTGCACCCTCTCGAGATAGATTTCACTTCAGCTCAATAGTCATCCCGTCCCCTCCCCTCCCCCCACTCCCACCCCCCCCCCGTCCAGGCTAGGAGCGGACAGCAGCATGGGGGGAATAACCGGGGCAGCAGCGGTGCTAGCGCCATCTGCGCGGTCTCGCCTGCTGTCCGCAGCAGTGGCGGCCATAGCCAAGCTGGCTGCTGCAGAGACGGACCTGCGCACCCGAGCACGCGTCTGCCTCTCCAAGGTGCGTCTGATTCTAGGAGTCATGGTCACTTTGCAGGGTGTTTTTGGAAAATCTCAAAATACACTTTGATCCTAGGAGTGATGAATCTTTCGCGGAAGAACAGCCAGCTAGAGACTATATTAGCCATGGCGGCCATAGCTAAGCTAGCTGTGCCAGAGACGGACCTGCGCACCCCGAGCACGCGTCTGCCTCTCCAAAGTGCGTATCTGGTGGCACCTCATATCCACGGTGGCTCTCTGTTTCTCCGATGTGCGTCTGTGTTTCTCCCATACACATACAGTAGAGCCTTCCATTCGCTTGTTTCTGGGGAGGGCGATGGAATTGCTTCCTTAAAGTGGGTAACTATGGACTCTCCTCACAATGCGCTTGCCCTCCTGCCTCCCACCTTGCCCTCCTGTCTCCCTCCTCCCCCCCAGGTGGTTCGCTCCCGCACCCATCTGCACCCCTCAGTGTGCGACCAGGCAGCGGACCTCCTCTCCCTGCTCCACCACCCTCTCCTCGCCGCCCTCCTCCTCTCCTCCGCACCTCCTCTCCCCGCCCCCTCCCCGGGCTCCTCCTTCCCCTCCTCCCTCTCCACCTCGTTCGTGCAAACATCCTCGTTATTAGCTTCCTCAGCCGGGTCTGCTGTGGAGCGCACAGTGGAAGCACACAGGGCGGTCGCGTTGCCGCTCTACCTGCTCTCGTCCCAGTCAGGTATGGGGGGGTGGGGGGGGGGGGGGGTGGGAGTTGGGGGGCCTGGGTGCTTTCCTCCTGGCTGCCCTCCTGCCGTGTTTCTTTCTCTACAGCCAGCCTAAATCACCATTCACCACCTCTATGTGCGTCTCGCATGAGGCCAAGGTTTGCATGTTGTGCACCGTATTCTCTTGCGTATTCTCTTGCCGGATCCCCTGCTCGTGTCTCTTAGTGTCTCAACATCGGAGTTTGTTGCAAGATCGGAACTTGATGGACGGAACGTCGCGCAAACGCCATCATGTTTGTTGCACATCCTGTTTTTCCATTACTAAAAGGCGTGACATGACTTACCTACCAGTACCATACGGTAGTAGCACCACCATGCCATGCCATGCCAAGTAGTGTGCTTGGAAGGAACCAAGGCAATCGCCTTGCACCGTGTCCGGGTGAGCAGTGGTATGCCTCGTGCTACACCACATGGTCATCCATACCACCACACCATAAGCTCAGCTTCCCGTCACTGCGTAATGCATTTATTCATGCTAACACGTCCCGTCCTTGCCTAACTCCTACACCGTACTACCATGTACCTCCACCTGGTCCACCCTGCTAATGACACCTGCAGGTCCCCCCGTGCATGATTTTAGCGTCTCCTCAATTCTCTTCTAAACACTGGCATTTTAGGCATCGTATAGTTTAACTTGATGGGTTTTTGGCTGAGACCTGCTGTATTCTTTTGAGTTGCTCAATAAATGTAGCCTTTATCGCGTCCCTTGTCGGTGTTGCCTGATTTCCAGTTTTTCTTGGAGTCTTTGATACTTGGTAGGTAGCAATGTTATATGCAAGGGTGAAGGACACGTCTGCAGTGTAGTTGAACTGAAAGCTTTCTTGAGCAGGCTCGAACGGTGTTGGTTATTACCGCTAGTTCCAACAACGCGTACGCCCTGCGATTTCGCTCGGCTGCCCGGCGCACGACTCAGGTTGACCAATTCGGAGCCTGGGCAGGACAGAGCCCTGAACGCTGGTGAATTTGGGGTGCCAGTAAATCCTGATTTGCTGATTCTTGCATCTACTCGGACTACCATACGTCCATCCTCCGACTATTCTTCCAGCATTGATCGGCGACACCGCAGGAGCATCCTTCCCTGCGTCCTCCCTCCCTTCCCAAATGGCTCACGGCTGCCCTTTCGCCGCCGCAAACAACGCCGCGTCGGGCGCCGCGTCCCGCGGCGGGTCCTGCGGGGGCGCAGCCCGCTGCCCCTTGGCGTTGCTGGTCGCCGCCGCGATTTGCGCCGCGTTCACCGGGCTGCAGGAGGTGGTGCCGGCGGCGTGGCTGCAGCACCTGCTGGTGCTCCGCTTCTTCTCCAGGGCGCGCGTGGGCGACCGGCCGTGGTCGCACGTCGTCGCCCTCACCGTCGCCGCCGTCGCAACGCAGGTACTACTAGTAGCGCGTCGCATGCGGCGGGGTGTTAAAAAAGCCAGAGACCCGAGAACTGGGGTATTCGCACATGGCGCCTTCCGCTGGAACCCTGTTTCGCTTCAGTGGCCCCTTGCTCTCTCTCTCTCCGCGGGTCTTCCGACTGGAATAGAGGGGATGTTAGGCGACTAGGCAGGACCACGGGTCTCTCCGGTGAGGAGCGACTCCGCGGGTCTTCTTCCGACTGGCGTAGAGGGGATGTTAGGCGACTATGCAGCGACTCTAGAGTCGACTCGACTCTACCGCTGACTCGGCGGCGGATGAAGAGACCGGCGGTACAAGGCAGGCACAGCTACTAAGGCACGGAGAGACTCCTCACCGGAGAGACTCGTGGTACTAAGACCCGTGCTTTTTTTTTAGGCGCCTCAAAAATAGACTCCTCACCGGAGAGACTCGTGGTACTAAGACCCGTGCTTTTTTTTTAGGCGCCTCAAAAATAGACTCCTCACCGGAGAGACCCGTGGTAAGAGCACGGCTACGAGCACGGGAGAGACCCGTGCCTTTTTTAGGACTCACAGTACTGATCATCGTCGTCGTCGTCGTCGTTGTAGTTGTAGTTGAGAACCCTCAAAAGCCCACTCATCGCCATCGTGGTGTTGGTACCAAGACCCGCGATGAAGTGATGATCAGCCGACTGTGCTAGACGTAGCTGCTACGTCGTGGTTTCTTTCCATGGGCACGAGGCACGGGCCACGGTCCACGGGGCATGGGGCACGGGGCATGGGTTATGGGCCTCAAGACATGGGCAAGAGCAATGGATGTGGTAGAACGGGAGGGCTCCATGCTGAATTCTTGTCTTATGCATGTCTGCGTGTGCATGTGTGCATGTGTGCATGTGTACGTCCACGCATGTCCCAACATGCAGGCATGCGGCATGACAGTGGCGTATGCGGGCATGTACGCCATCGGCCCCAATGCGCACACCCTCTCCTCCTGGCTGCTGGTGGCAGTGAACGTGCTGCCCATGACAGCAGTGCTGCTGCTGCCATGCCTCGCTGACTCGCTCTTCCGATACACCTACAGGTATGGCAGTAAAGCACCTATTCTGCATGCTATACCGTCTCCTCCTGGCTGCTCGTGGCTGCTCGTGGTGGTGAGCGTGCTGCCCATGGTGGCCGTGCTCATCATCCCATCGCTCGCTGACTCGCTCTTCCGATGCCCACGCGCCCCACCATCCCATCTCGATCCCTCTTCCCCCAATCCGTCTCCCCACTGCTCCACTCAACTCTCCCCCCCTCCCCCGCCCCCCCTCCCCCCTCCCTCCTGCCCCGTGCCGTCCCCCCAGGCTGTCAGCGCACCTGCACCCGCTCGTCTTCCCCCTGGTCTCCGCCTCTATCTGGACCCTCCTCTCCCTGCTCTCCCCCTTTGGCGCCACTGCCCACCCCCTCTACTCGCTGCGCTCTCTCCTCCCCCTCGTGCAAGCCACAGCGTGGGTGGGCATGGATGGGGTGCTTCTCGTGGCGGCTTGGCTGGTGGGGGGTGTTCACCAGGTGATGTGTGAGGGGAGTGTGGAGGCGAGGGGAGAGGAGGGGGGGGGAGTAATGGGCGTGGGGGTGGGAGGGGGAGGGTGGTTGGGGAGGAGGTGGGAGGGAGAGGGAAAGAGGGTGTGAGGTGTGAGGGGGAGGGGAGTGGGAGTGAGTGCTGTGGTGAGGGCAGTAGCGGCATCAGTAGAGTGGGGAAGGAAGGGGGAAGAGAACGGTATGGAGGCGGAGGAGGGGGGGGGGGAGAGGAGGAAGAGACGAGGGAGGAGGAGAAGTGCGAGGGGCAGAGGAAAGGGCGGAGGGGGGGGGCGGCGCAGGGAGGAGCAGGGATTGTGGCAGCAGTGGATGGGGCCATGTGCGTGCGAGTGCGGCACTGCTGGTGGGGCTCATGGCAGCAGGGTCGGCGAGAGAGACTGTGCTGTCATCCAGGTGGGTTGGGTACGACCAGGACACGTGCTGTGCTGGCATGTCACTATTTGTTTATGAAAAGGAATAGCGCCAAAAAAATAGTCCCATTAGTGCTGGTGGGGCCCATGGCAGCAGGGTCGGCGAGAGAGACTGTGCTGTGATCCAGGTGGGTATCACAGCACACACGGCCAGGCAACTGGCTCCCATCCCTGGGGGCTGGACACCCTGCTGAACAATGGCCCATGCCCCTCGTGCTTTCTCTTTCCCATTTAGCCCCCACTTAGCAACCATGGTCCGAGTGCTGCTGCTCTCTCCGTCCCTCCTGCGTTCTCTCTCCCACTCTCACCACTTCCTTACTGCGCTAACCCCACCACTCCCCCCTTCCGCCCACTCCCCCCCTCCTCCAACGCCTCACCTTCTCTCAGCAGCAGCAGCAGCAGCAGCAGCAGCAGCAGCAGCAGCAGCAGCAGCAGCAGCAGCAGCAGCAGCAGCTCTCAGCCGTGATACTTACCGCAGACAGCTTCGTGTCCCCCCCTCCCCCCATCATCTCCCCCATCAATCGCATCCTTCAGGTTCTTCCAGCAGCCACTCTCAGCCGCCATGGCTCCCTCAGTCCCCGTCTCCTGCCTCCTCTCGCAAGCTCCCACCACCGGCATCCCCCCGCAGCCTCCCGCCTCTCTCTCTCCCTTTGCTGCTGGTGCCTCCATGCCCCTGCCCTCCCTCTCTCTGCCGACCGCCTCTGCTGAGGCAGCAGGGGCAAGACAGCTGCTGCAGGGGGGAGAGGGGGAAGACGGGGGGGATGTGGGGAAGGGGGGAGAGGGGCAACAGGGGGGAAAAGGAGTTGCACAAGGGGGAGCATCCGCAGTAGCAGGATCTGCAGGAGTAGCAGCAAGAGCAGAAGGGGCCGAAGTAGCAGAAGCAGCAGAAACAGCATCAGCAGGAGAAGCAGCAGCAAGGGAGACGTGGGAGGAGTGGGAGGCGTGGCGGCTGGCAGGCATCGCGTCAATGCTGCAGCAGACGCAGCAGCGAGCAACTGCAGGCGACACTCTCGTTCTCTGGTCCGAGGCGTCCGTCATTCTGTGGCATGACCACGAGGAGCAGAAGCTTTTAGCCGACCTGGCTGCTATAGCCACGGCTGCTAGCGCCAACCGCACCGCCAGCGCTGCTCCTAGTGCTGGTGCTGCAGGCCCGTCGTCTCTTGGGCCATATCTCGGGGCTTCTTACATGAAGGTGTGTGTGCTTGATATGGTGAGGTGAGGTGAGGTGAGGTGAGGTGAGGTGAGGTGAGAGAGCCAGTGCTGCAGGCGTCTGCACTTGGATAGTTACGTACGCCACGCCATTCTCATGAGGTGACTCTTGAGTCAATTCAAAAGACTTTTCGCCATTCTCATGGTCGAATTATGACGGAGTGGAATTGGTCATATTTCGACCGTATTATGACCACGAACAGCCCATATTCTCCTCCTCGTGCTCACCCTGCAACCGTTTACGCAACCCATCCTCCCACTCCCCCCTCATCCCCCTCTCCCCCCCCCCCAACTCAGCGCATCTCCCCCGGGCGCTTCACCAACTCCTTCGCCCTCATCGCTCCAGCCGGTGGCGCCCCCATCCTGCGCTACAACAAGTCGCACCCAGTGCCCTCCGTCGAAGACAACGTGCTGCCGGGCCGTGGCACTCTGCCTGTGGTCGACACGCCTCTCGGGAGGATCTCAGTGGCCATCTGCTTTGATCTCCAGTTCCCTGCGCTGATTAGCCAGGCAGGGAGTCAGGGGTGAGTGTGGTGTGTGGTGTGTGGTGTGTGGTGTGTGCGGGTGTTCTTACAAGCAACTATGCATCTTTGGGAATGAAGTGGCTATTAGTGGCTAACTGTGGTTATGTGCTTTGATCTGCAAATTCCTGCCTGCGCTCAATAGCCAGGCGGGGAGACGGGTGAGTGGGCGTGTGCAGCTGGGCCGAGCTAATCTTGTTGGTGCAGCTGAGTCTCAGTATTCCTAAGACCACCTGTGCTGAGCAGAAAGTAACGTGTGGCTTCTGAGCCGGCTCTAAGTTCCACGTGACATATGCCATGCCATGTGACATGCCTCAATCGAGGCAACTCAATAGCCCTCACACTTACTAACCTGCTCATGCGCACACACCCCCTTCCCTCCACGCAAGCCCAAACCTACTCCCCGTCAACGGAGTGGCTACTCTCCCGCAGCCCAGCTGCACGTGGGGCGCCATTGGCCACGTGTGATATTCCACACTTGAGACGCCTCAGAAGCCCACCCCCCTCTCTCTCCTCCCTCTCTCCTCCTACATCTCTCCCCCCCCTCCTTCCCACCTCGCAGAGTGGACATGCTCCTGCAGCCCATCTGGACGTGGGGAGCCATTGGCCACGTGACATTCGAGCGATGAGGCATCCAAGAGCGCTCTCACTCACTGGCCCGCTCATGCACATTCGCAACCCCAGAACTCTTTAGCTCCCCCCTCCCTCAACGGAGTGGACATTCTCCTGCAGCCCAGCTGGACGTGGGGCGCCATAGGCCACATGACCTCGAGAGATGAGGGGAGTCCAAGCCCAGCTCATTCACTCCCCTGCTATTGTATCCTCCCACCAACCCACCCCCCCCCCCCCCCCCCCAACAGAGTGGACATTCTTCTGCAGCCCAGCTGGACGTGGGGCGCCATAGGCCACATGACGTTTGAGACGGACGCAGTGAGGGCGGCAGAAAACGGCCTCACGCTCCTGCGCTGCTCCTCCATCGGAGTCTCGGGGGTCGTCACGCCGTACTACCGCACCCTTGCTGCTCGGTAAATGCGGATGCCATGAGAGCCCAGTGTATGCTGCTGCCACGAATATGACGTCTACTCTTGTACTTCGTCTCCATCGGAGTCTCAGAGTCGTCTTCATTGGGCTGCGGGGGTCGTCTCGCCGCACTACCGCACCCTTGCTACCGTAATCTTTCTCTGTTTCTTTGGGGCCCTGGTTGTATGCCTCAACGCACAGCTCTGCATGCTCGATGATCCGGTAGTAGAGCTCCGGGCCTCATCTTGCTCCTCTACCACCCCCTGGCTCCACAGTACTGCTGCCGTGAATGTACAGTCTACCAGCTGTACAGCACGTCAAAGCACAAAGTCTACCTTTGCTGTTCTCCGCAGCTGGTTTTCTTGTCTACAATTCCCCCCCCACACACCTGCCAGTTGTCTTGACCCCCCCCACACCTGCCAGTTGTCTTGACTACCCTCACGCCTGCCAGTTGTCTCGACTACCCTCACACCTGCACAACCCTTGCTGTGCAGTCCACCCGTCTGGACACTAATTACCAATCAACCCTTTCTCCTTACTCCCTCTCTATCTCTCTCACCCCCTTCAGGGAAGGCCTGGCCACTGGACTCCTCACAATGCACCTACCCCTCCTGCCCCGTGCCCCAGCGCTCTACCCCTACATCAGCCTCCCCATGTCTCTCCTCCTCCTCTCCCTCACCCTCCTTGCAGCATTCCTTGCCATTGCCCCACCCTCCCTCTCACTCCCCCTCTGCCGCTGCCTCCCTGCCGCCCTCTGCTCCCTGCTGCCCCACCCTCTCTGCTTGGCGGGGCAGCAGAGGGAGTGTGAGAGAGAGAAGAGGCAGGGATAGGACAGATGGGGGCTGGGTGGTGGTATCAGAACTCAGTCACTAACTACGGAGTTTAAAGGGCTTGTTAAGTAGCGGGTAAGTGCGCCCATAACCCCCCAGGCTCTGCACTTGTAACCCTTCCCCGAGGACCAAGGGCAACCCTAGCGTGTTTCACGATACCCCCCCTCGCTGGGGTAGGCGGAAGACACAAGCACCTCTGCGGCGCTGCCACCTCTCCAGTGCACACTGGGAATTGAACCGGGGTGGTCACCGAGCTCCAATACCATACGAGAATTCAGTCACTAACCATTGAGCTGAAGGGCTTGTTAAGTAGCGGGTAAGTGCGGTCATAAGCCCCTAGGCTCTGCACCTGTAACCCTTCCCCGAGGATCAAGGACAACCCCAGCGTGTATCATGACAGCTGGGTGTGGGGGGATGGGGTTTCAGGGTTCTAGCATGAGATGTGATGGGGTGAGAATGGGCAATGGGCATGCACCGAATTGTGTGGTTGTATGCAAGGATTTGTGCTACGTGGGCTTGTACGATACAGTATTTACTGGTAGTCAAGTTTTGCTAGCCGTTCCATTATTCAGCAGCATTACAAAGGATATAAATCTCCCTAGGATATAAATATATCGGAAGAAATTACACTAAATGCACACGCATGTGGCACTAGGTTAAGACCCAGCATGGAATGTTCTCACAACCATGCTGAATGGTTGCGCTGCTAACTCTGGCGGGAAACACTACAGAGCCTCCTCCTTGTCTTGACTCGATACAAGAGGCTTCCCAATAAACACAACATTTTTCTTCATCATGGTGTTGATACAGCAGGCCATGGAGTAGTAAAACGCTGCATGAAACCAACCAACCCAAAATCAGGCAAACCAATAAATTACGGTTAGCACCGACACCACATTGGCAACATTCCCGCAGTAGTGGTTCAAATGGAATTCCATGTAGGTTCGTTTCTTACATTACAACCAGATCATGTCATGTGCCCCACTCACCAGCAGCAGCCGTGAAGACGCCGATGTACCCGCCAGCCATGGTCCAGGTGCCCGACTCCCCCGCCTTCTGGCCCTTGAAGTTGCCGACCATGAGCGTGAAGAGGGTGAGCTCGAGCAGCACGAAGACCACCACCTCGACGAGCGGCATGAGCAGCGACGCGACGCACATGTACGTGTTGAAGATGAGGAACGACGTCAGGAACCACGCGACGGACTCGCTGGTTTCGAACGCCGCTGGAAGCTGCGGTAGAGGAGGGGGAGAGAGGAGAAAAGGATCGGATTAGTACAGAGGCGCCGCAAGATTTGACGCCACGCACATGTACGTGTTGAAGATGAGGAACGACGTCAGGAACCACGCGACGGATTCGCTCGTCTCGAACGCCGCTGGAAGCTGTGGCAAAGGAGGGGAGGGGAGAGCAATCGGCGGAGAAAGCGGAGGGAATAGAGGACGCGTGAAAGTGGAGGGAACAGGCTCGGACACAACGAGAGGAGTGACGGCGTTTTCGAAGCGGCGGCTTGATCCCGGGAATGGGATCGCTTTAGGGATCGACGTTTGGAAGCAGCTTTCGCGCAGGAAAACTTACGGAAAACTGCGACACGCAGGCCACGATCGACAATTGAAGCAAGTACTGCTTAGTACGATCTCCGAGTCGGCTGGGCGGTCCGATCTCATGATCGGACGGGGGGCAATTCCGTTTGTTTCAAATGCGCGTAGTCATGATGTCTCACCAGATTGAGCAGCAGGAGGATGTGGAAGAGCCCGTTAGCCATCCAGAAGCAGCCATAGGTGGAGAAGGCGGTCGCGGTGAAGGTGCAGTTGCGCTTGAACTGCCACATCCCCGCTACGAACTGACCCAGTCCGCCGTAGAAGAACGCCATGCCGATCCAGATCGTGTCGGGAGCCCACCCTGCGCCAATCAAAGGGAAATTCGTTGAGATGTCAGAGCTAGGGGTCAGTTATTTTGCGTCGTGTTGAGGCTCCGAGACTGTTAAAATCTGGTCAAAATGCCATGGAATTTCTTATTGTCGCGTTTCAAGTGTGGGGCATGCAGTTGATGATTTGGATGAAGAGGCGAAATTGAATCGGAATATTTAGCAAATGGAGGTTAGAAACACGAACCGGCATTGTGAGCTGATAGCACGAAGGTCGTCGCCGCGAAACCCGCGAGACCAAGAGGCCGCGCGTCAGCGATAAGGTACTTGGGATGGACCATCCGGCTCTCCGTCATCCCAGACTCCAGACCCATTCTCCGTAATCAAGCCGTTAACGACGCAAACGCTGAGTGCAGGCGATGGACGCGACAACGGAAGCTAACTTTACGGTAAACGCGGTGAATTAGCTGTCAAAGCACAGGCGGCAGAGGAGCAACGAAGAAACAATAGAAACCAAGGAACTGGCGAGTTGGAGTCGCTAGGAGATCTGGGGCTGATAAATACCCCGCAATGTTGGAGGGGTTTGTTGGGAGAGGGCTTGGTTGGTGGTTTGGCATGGCATTTCGCTTTTGCGCGCGCTGTTGGAGGTTCGGTTTGGTTCCGTTCCGTGCCTACCTCCCGACAAGCCGCGAAACGACGTGTCCTCGAGACGACGCATGAGGGTCTGGTTGGTGGTTGCTCCCCCGGCTTATGGGGATGATTTTTAGATTAAAACTCTATACGTGCCAAGTGATGGTTGCGAAGACAGATATTTTGTAGGGACATACTCCATTTTGATGGTTGTATATTCCATTTATGTACATATAGATTTCTGCCCGTAACATTCTCCTGCAGCAAATATTCCCACCACCAGCCCGACCATACCAGGGCTCTGGCTAACAGGAGAATTACCCTTGATGTCGCGAAATTAAGAGTTGTTTTTCACCTGATTCCGTTTTTCGGCGTAGTAAAAGTTTCCTGATTCCGTCTGCCTAACGGACTAGTTTGTTTGTAATTCCTTGAAATTAAGAGTTACTTTTATTATATTTCGTGCGAAGTGCAGTTGTAGTAGGAATCTGTTTGTGGCGGTGTATCCCCCTTCCCGCCCTTACCCCACCTCCACGGCGGCAGAGAGAGAGGTTAGTTAGCAGGAAAGTTTTCACTTCCAACCGCCTGAGGCACAGTATGTGTGAGGCACAGTCCCTGGGGGCTCGAAGGCCTTTCCTTAGTCCTGGGGAATACCATTTTTCTTGAGGATGTTAGTATTCAACCATGAGTAGCACTCGGACGAATCCGTAGTTTGACGGGTAGTGTTTCGGCGATTCCGTCCGCTAACGGGTAATTTTGGGGCCGATTCCGTAACCTAACGGAATGTCCCTGGCCTTAGCGAGAGCCCTGGACCATACCTGCCTCGTGCTCACGTCAGCCGCACACGTTGTGCATCTTGCAAGGAACAGAATCCGCGTGTCACGGGCAGTGCCGCTTCCCGCGGCTGTTTTACACCTGTCGTGGCGCAGCCACGAGAGCGTTTCCCTCTGATTGGGTGATACTCATGCGCTGGCGTCCACCACACAGTGCCAAACCTCCCACGTCAGAGGAAATCGAAGCACGAAACAGATTTGTACATCGCAAATGCTCTATAATGCTTTCCCATATGAACTCCATAATTTTACAATGATAACAAGTGTCTAGTATATAAATAGAATCAATGCCTGGCCTACATTACAGTCATAATCATATAATTGTGTTGATTATTGGGCAGCGGGATATAACAAATAGAGAGAAATGAGGATTTTCCTAACGTAGGTAAGAAGATTTCAAGACGTGCATACACTAACACCGCCGATCATGAAGAGTTCAGAAAGAACAATGATTAAAAATCCTTGTCAACTCCATAGTCCCGTCTGCCCGTAGCATACCGCCATCATTCCATGTAAGCAAAATGTCTCGGGTCGCGCAACGGGTCTTAAAGGAATATTGTTGTGGCACTAGGATAGTCTGGTCGAACCTCCTCTCTCTCTAGGGAGGGTACTAGGGAGGCTTTTCTTGGGAAAGGTGGATATATGGAGCCTGACTCTCCTGAGGACATCCCTTTTTGTCCCAGTGGTTAGGACTGGTGACTTGATGATATGTGATCCAGTGTTCAATTTCTGGTGTACACGCTATCCCAGCGGGGGGATGTGTCATGGCACCGGGATAGCCCTGTCAAACCTCCTCTCTCTCTCTCTCTCTCTCTCTCTCTCTCTCTCTCTCTCTCTCTCTCTCTCTCTCTCTCTCTCTCTCTCTCTCTCTCTCTCTCTAGGGAGGGTACTAGGGAGTCTTTCCCTGGGAAAGGTGGATATATGGAGCCTAACTCTCATGAGCACACCCCTTCTTGTCCCAGTGGTTAGGACGGGTGACTCTATGACAAATACAACCTGTACGACTCTTGCTCGTATAAGCACATGATCAAGGCAAGTCATGTGGGATCGCGAATATTCTCTCGTTCATTTCTGGTTCCCGGCCACACGCTACAAATGGATCAATGTATGGAATGGTAATCTTTGTTTCATTGTCAATGATGTCACTACCTGGCCTTGTGAGTGACACAACGTTGTCACAGTGCGCTGGGCAGTTGTCCAGTGTTTTTTCAAACCATGCGGGACACACAGGTTTCCAAACTGGGTGAAGGAACACTCTGAACCGGATGCCCTGTTCTGCGGGCACATTTGACAAGCTATTCACGCTCAGGAAGCTTCTCTGGTAAGTGCAATTCGAGTTATCGAGGCTCGTCGACAAGCACTCACGGCTCGGAGCATGCCAAACCTAGATTGATACTTAGTTCAACGAAAACCTGCAGAACACCATCACCTGAATGAAGAACTGCCAAATAGGGTGCTTCCAGTAAATTTTTCTCCAGGGCAGAAAGGCTAAACATCTCGTCAAATCTGTAACCTACCTCCGTAGGCTTGATGAGAGCTGAACAAGCAGTATCGGGCAGCATGTAGACGCCCATAAAAATAGCGCACGTATAATGCAACAACCCCCCTAAAAAAAAAAAAAAAAAAAAAAAAAAACCAACGACATGCAAAGAGGTTGCATGTTAGACTTGTTGGCTACCGCTGCATGCGCTTTTTTTTTTTTGGCGGGGGTGCGGACCTTGACGGGGCAGTGTCAAAACTTGTTCCTGGCCCGTAGCGAAGTCGCGCTAGGTAACGTGTGTGGTTTCTCTTTGTGATGGTGTCTCGGCTATGTTGGAAAGAGCTCCGGCAGGCTCTAAATCGACCAGAGATCTTATGGAACTAATGCCTACAGAAAAGAGCCTGAGCCTGATGATCATGTGAAACATATGCCATCGGGATTTTGGGGAAGTTGGAGCAAAGTAGCATCAATCCTTGGCCAGAATGAAAACTGACAGTTGCTTCCCAGAACGATCCCGCCCTAGCGACCCCGAAAGGCTCGAGGTTCCATCAGTTCGCGCTGCCCCAAACACCCAGCCTCTGGGAGTGATGTGGTAGTCCCCGTGTCCATCGCTCGTCCAATCACAATCATCGCCACGGATTGCTTTGATTCCGGGCTCTGCAGAGCGATGCGGACTTCAGATCCTTGTCAAACCATATCAGACCGACGAATAACAAACTGAACCTTTCCAGACCGTATCATGCTGTGCCTGCCCCAGCACAGGGCATCCCCCCATCTGAAGCAAAATATCTTCAGGGAATAGAGGAGAAAATGGGCAGGGCAGATTGAGTTTCTCAGCAGGCACACACTGCACTACACAGACTGCACAGCACACAGCCCATTTTATCCTGCGCGGCCTTCCCTTTCCTTCTTCCGCCGCCTTCGCCACCAAATTCTGACGTGCCCCTCCTCTCCGCCATGGCATCCGCGTCTTGCGCCGTCGCGCACTCTGCCTGCCGCCTCGTTTCCCCCTCCCCCGCCACCACCCTGCGCTCCTCCTTCCTCTCCCCACCCGCCACTGCTCTCCCCATCCAAATTTCCCGCTCTCCCCCCAGCACTTCCGCTCCGCTCCCCACCGTGCGCGCATTTGCGGAGCCGCCTAAGCAGGGTGCGATCGGGAATTTTTTCGCGCGGTTAACCGGCGCGCTGCCCGTGGTGGGGCTTGTGTCGCGCATCGCGAGCGACGAGGGCGGCGTGGGCGCGGACCGCATTCACTACGCGGAGTTTTGCAGGCGGGTCGAGAAGCGCCTGCCGCAGGGCGCGTGGATGGCCGTCCGCGACTTCGAAGCCCGCTTCGGCAAGGTTCGTCCGTCCGTTTGTTCCTTCGGTTCGATTCGGTTCGGTATGGTTCGGTATGGTCCCGTGTGGTTCGGTTTGGTTCGGTTTGGCCCCCCGATTGCGGGCTGTGCGTCTGAAGCAGCGGCTGCTCTGTTGCGGTGTCGCATTGTGAGGGCATGGGCATGGGCATGGGCATGGGCATGGGCATGGGTTTGCCCATGGGTAGGGGAATAGGCATGAAAAGCAACCGCGGCGGGATGTCGATGGCGGAGCGTGGGTGTAAATCAGAAGCGGAAGACGCACCAAACAGAAGAAGAAAGTCGATGCCAGTCGGGGGAACGGGAGATTCGTGCCGAGCTGCGGACTAGCGATAGAGGAACGCGAATGGGGGGGTGGGGGGGCGGGATTTTAGGGGAGGAGCGGAAGGGGAAGGAAGAAGCGCTACCGGTGGCGAGAGGAATGCCGCGTGGGGGAATGGGGTGGCGAGCGGGGTGGGAAAGGGCTGCCTGCCTGTTGGGGAAGTCAAGGAAAAGGTGAGAGTTACACTAGACCGCACATTGTTGGGAGGCGGGTTGATGGAGGAATCTACATGGGGGGAACGTGTGCAATGCAAGTGCACAGTGCACAGTGCACAGTATACAGTACACGGTGCACAGTATACAGTACACGGTGCACAGTATACAGTACACGGTGCACAGTATACAGTACACGGTGCACAGTATACAGTACACGGTGCACAGTATACAGTACACGGTGCACAGTATACAGTACACGGTGCACACTGCACAGTACACGGTGCAGAGTACACAGTATACGATGTACAGTGTACAGTACACAGTACACGGTGCACAGTACACAGTATCGCACTTGCACGTCACCATTCCTCTCCCTAACAACAACACTTGCGTCCCCGCCGCTCTCCCCCGCTCCCCCCATCCCCTCCCCCGCTCCGCACCTCCTCCGCCTCTTCCACCTTATCCGTATCCTCCTCTTCCCCTCCCCTCCCCCCCACCCCAGCTTTTCCCCTCCTTCCCGCGCCCCCTATATCTTCCTCCTCCTCCCCCCCCCTGTCCTTCTCTCCTCTTCCCAACCGTTCTCCGAAGCTCCATCCTGCATCCACCCTCAATTCTTTCCTCTCTTCCTCCCTCCCTCCTTTCTTCCTGCCTGTCGCCCAATGCATAGCCACCACGTCCCCTCTCCTCCTCCTCCTCTTGCAGGTATCTGGGAAGAGCCAACTGCAGATAACCTACGTACGGCCCAGCCTCATGTTCCCAGCCTCATGCTCCCAGCCTCATGTTCCCAGCCTCATGTTCCCGGCCCTCATGTGCCTGTGGTTCTGTAGCACAGACACTAGTTTCCTAATGAGCCGGCTCCCCTGTTCCCCAATCCTGCCACTTTGTCCCAACCCCTGCAGACGGCTCGTCCCTCCTATGAAGCTGTTTCGCAGATCTCCAATCATTTTCCGTTTCCCCTTCTCTCTCTGTCTCCGACTCTCCGCTCCTCCTTCGCCCCCCCTTCCCTTCCTTCCTCACGGATGGCTCGTCCTTTCCTCGTGTTCCTGTGCTGCAAGACTGCAGCAGTGGGTGCAGAGTGCGTTTCTTAGTCGACTCACAAACACGCCTCCTCTCCCCCTCCCTTCTGCCCACCACAACTCCCCCCCCCCCCCACCCTCCACTCTCCCCCTCCCCTAACCCCCATCCCCAAACCCCCCTGCAGATAGCTCGTCCAGGCCTGGTGTTCCTGTGGTGTTGGGTCTCATCCGTGGGTGCGGGGTACATCTTCAACCAATTCACAAACACGTCCCCCCCCCCTCCGCTCCCCCCTCTCCCTCTCCCCTCTCCCCTCTTTTTTCACAACCCCCCCGCCCTCTCTTCCCCCCTCCCCCCCTTTTTCAGATGGCTCGTCCCGGCCTGGTGTTCCTGTGGTGCTGGATTGCAGCTGTGGGCGCAGGGTACGTGCGGCGGGACGCCATTCTCCTGAGCGCGCGGCGCATGCGCGCCTCCCTGGATGCGGACTACGAGCTGGGTATCTTCGACCAGATGCTCGATGACCAATCTAAGGTCGGTGGGGCTCCAAGGTCGGTGGAAGAACTGCTGTGTGGGATACTTACTATGGCCTTGAAACCGTTTCTTTCTCTCTCTCTCTCTCTCTCTCTCTCTCTCTCTCTCTCTCTCTCTCTCTCTCTCTCTCTCTCTCTCTCTCTCTCTCTCGCTCTCTCTCTCTCTCTCTCTCGCATCCATAAGCTTCTCTTCCTCATGCTATCTCGTTCGCCACTCCTAATCCTCCCCCCTCTCCACATTCTTCCACCTTGTCTAAACCCTAAACTTCAACCCCCGAGGTTCTTCCCCTCCCTCCCCCGCTTGACTTCCTATCCCTTTCACTGACGCTCGTTCTCATCCCTCTCGTCTAACAGTCCTCCTCCCTCTCCTTTATTTTGCAGGGTGTTCTTGAGTATTCTCAAGAGCCCACCCAGCCCCCCTCCCCTACCTCCGCTTGACTCCTATCCCTTTCACTGAAGCTCGTCCTCATCCCTCTCTTCTAGCTGTCATCCTCTCTCTCCTTTAATCAACTTCTCCTCTGTTGCACAATCGGGCCGTCCACATGCAGCCTTCCTTCCGTCTCCCACACATCCACCCACACCAACCCACTCCAACCCACATCCACCCACACCACACCACACCACACCAACCCACACAGTCCAGCATAGGTGGAGACAGCACAGGTGGCAGCAGCAGCGGTGCCAGTAGAAGCCAAGGCAGAGGTGGCCCTAGATGCCATTCTCAAACTGCTGCATTAACCAGCCCTCTCGCTTCCATGTCAAGGGCACCACCTACCCACTTCACTCCCTCGTTCTTCTACCCACCCTCCCATCCACCAGGTCAAAACAGCACAGGCGGTAGCAGCAGTGGTGCTGGTAGAAGCCAGGGCGGAGGTGGCCTTGAACGCCATCCTCGACTCCTGTGTGAGGCCGCCCTCGCACGCCATTCTGTCAGGCCCCCACTCACCCACTTGACTCCCTCCTCTTTCTGCTCCCACCCACTGGCTCAGGTGAAGACAGCGCAGGCAGCAGCAGCAGCAGTGCCAGTAGAAGCCAGGGCGGAGGTGGCTCTGGACGCCATTCTGGACTGCTGCGTGGGGCCGCCCTCGCAGCGGCAGATGGACGACGACGACTGGCAGCTGCTGCTCACCATCCTCGCTGGGGTCTTCCCCACTGCCAGCGTTGCTGCTCTAGAGGACGCTGTGAACGCACGCAGGGAGGCGAGCTTGCCCAAAAAGGAGGAGGCGGAGGCGGAGAAGGAGAAGTCAGCCTGATGTGTCTCAAAGACTGGCAGCTGCTGCTCACCGTCCTTGCTGGGGTCTTCCCGATTGCCAGCGTTGTTGCTCTAGATGATGCTGTGAATGCTCATAGGGAGGCGAGCTAGCCGAAAGCTAAGGGGGCGGACGTGGCAGTAGAAGTAGGAGGAGGAAGATGAGTAGGAGGAGTCTGCTGCCTGCCTGATGCTGTGATCATTGAGGTGCCCCAAAAGCTGCTGCTCTTCTCTGCTCGCTCTGCTCGCGCTACCATCCCCGAGGGCGCGTTCTTTCCCGTCTGTCTGCTGTTGTGTGTTTTTTGCTTTGTAGTGGGGTTTAGCAGTACTGACAAACCGCAGCCTAGTTTAACACTTCTAGTATGGCGACCTTTTTGCCTAGTTGTAGGAAGGTTTGTTCGTAGTGGGTTGTTGTGAAGCGTGATGTGAAGCATTGTGTTGGTGAACCCAATGTGCAGTGCTGACTGGTGCATCGGGGTCAACAGGTGAGGGAGATCATTGCAGATGCATGCATGCAGCTTAGTGCAGCAGCATACCTAATACCGCAACATACTGTAACGTGTCCTGGAGTGCACGCACATGCTCTTGTTGCTCCTGCCTGTGCGTTTCCAACCAACAGGTCCAGTCCAGTGGCCATACATTCCAGACTATCGTACGATACCATACATACCATCCCAGATATTATCAAGGCAACAAACTAATGCCAAGTTAGTCCTCTTGATTGACTCAGTCAGTCCCTGAGCCCTAGAGCCGTGTTCTGGCCTCTCCAGATGGCTCGTCCACTCGGAAGTCCACCAGGTTAAGCTGGCCCCCAGGTGCATCACCCGACTCCTGGTTTGGCATCAGTAGCAGCAGCAGCAGCAGCAGCAGCAGCAGCAGCATCACCACCTCCCCCATCGACCTCCCGTGTCTCTCATCCCATCCGCATCGTTTCACAGTCTGGTTCTGGCCTCTCCAAACGCCTCGTCCACCCGAAAGTCCACCCAGTTGAACCTCGCCACAAGCGGCATCACCCTCTCCCCCATCACCCTCTGATGCCTTTCATCCCCTGCATATGCTTTAAGGGCCGCCTCGTCCCTGTGGAACGACGCAAAGCCCCACGTGAACCCCTTGGCGCGCGCAGGGGCGAAGTTCTCCCCTAGGGAGACCTCCTCCAGGCCTGGGATCTCCCCCACGTGGGCTTTAAGGGCGGATACCATGGTGGAGGTGGCAACGGGGGTGGCGGCCGAGGGGGCGAGCTCCATCACCACAGAATGGATCACTGAAAAGGGCGGAGGAGAGGGAGAGAGAGCAGGAGCAGCAGCAGCAGCAGCAGCAGCAGGCAGGGAGGCATCGACATCTGTCTCCCAGTCAACAGCCAGGATGTCGCTGATAATCGGCTTGATCAGCCCCTCCACCACCTTCACATGCGCCTCCGACGTTGCATACGCCTGCAGGGCGTCTCTGGACTCGTACCGCCCCAGCAGCGCGTGCGTCCAGGGGGACGCGGGCGCGGAGGTGGCGAGGGCGGGGGGCAGGGGGAGGGCGGAGCCGACAGTGAGGAGGAGCACGCCGGGGGAGGAGGCGAGGGCGCGGAGCCCGTTGACCATGGCGGCTATGGCGGACGGGGGGGTGTCTGGCTTCACCTGGTGGGGGGGGGTGGGGGAGTTACGGGTGGAGGAAGAGGGGTGGGGGAGTGATGGGGCGTGAATGTCATGATAATTAGCCCCTCCACCACACGCACATGCGCCTCCGACGTTGCATACGCCTGCAGGGTGTCTCTGGACTCGTACCGCCTCAGCAGCACGTGCGTCCAGGGGGGTGTAGGCGCGGAGGCGGAGAGGGACAGGGGCAGGGGGAGCGCGGAGCCGACGGCGAGGAGGAGCACGCCGGGGGAGGAGGCAAGGGCGCGGAGCCCGTTGACCATGGCGGCCACGGCGGATGGGGGGTTGTCTGGCTTCACTTGGCAGGGGGGAGCGGTGGTGGAAGCAGGGGGGGTGAGGGGGGAGGGGGGGAGACGAGATGATGAGGGGGGGGGGAGGCAGGCATGATGGTGGGGCCGTGTGATGGGGGGAGTGAAGGTCGTCATCATCATCATCGCTGACAATCAGCTGAATCATTAGCCCATCTACCACCCTCGTATGTGCCTCTAATTTTAACCTTGCGTATGTCTGCATGGCGGCTCTAGGGACTGCAGGGGGAGGAGAGGGCGCGAGGGCGCGCCGGGGGAGGAGGTGAGGGCAAGCAGCCCCTTGAGCATGGCAGCCACAGCGGAGGGGGGTTACCGGGCTTCACCTTCTGGGGTTGAGGATGGGAATTGGTGGGGGGAGTGGTGGGGGGAGTGGTGGGGGAGTGGTGGGGGAGTGGTGGGGGGAGTGGTGGGGGGAGTGGTGGGGCAAGGGGGTACCTAGCAGGATGAAGGGAGGCGAGCCGCCGCGACTGCGCATTAGATTCCGAGATCCGTGCCAAGGACGATGTCTGTGGGTGTGCCGCCACGTGCGCCCTGAGCTAAGTGCGGCGTTAATCACGCAGGCGAAGCAGCAAAGCAAGTAACGGCTGGAACTTTACTCCGCGCTACAACGAGAATCGACACAGAACTCTGTAGGACAATCTAGCGTCGAGTCGAGACTCGACTCGAGACCCACCTGAAAGTACACGAGGTGCTCCACCACCACCCGTCGCGTTGCGTCGCCTGTCAGTGGCGCCCATCACCACCCTCTATGCGCGTCGACTCAGTGCCCGAATGCAGGAGGAGTCTATTTTTGAGGCGTCTCAAAAATAGACTCCTGCCAGTGGCTCCCATCATTACCCTCCATGCGCGTCGGCTCAGTGCCCGAATGGCATGGCATGGCATGGAATTAAAGGGCCTCAAAGGGTCTCGCGATGAAGACCGGAGCCTATTTTTTAGGCGCCTCACAAATAGACTCCTCACTGCCGGAATGCCATGGAGTCAAAGGGCGTAAAAGGGCCTCGCTATGCAGACCCACCTGGAAGTACACTAGGTGCTCCACCACCCGTCGCGTCGCCTTGCTCCCATCGCCGCCCTCCATGCTCGTCAACTCGGTGCCCGATGCTCTCGCACCCGCCACGACCCGCTTTTTTCCACCGCGCGCCGGCGCTACCGGTGATGCTACCGGTAGTGCGGTGACAAGCGGTGAGATCGCTGGGGAAGAGAGGGAGCGAGGGCACGCGGGGGAGAGCGCGGGGAGCGAGAGCGGCTTGCAGAGCGGCGAGGCGCGGCGGGAGAAGTCGGAGGCGCGAGAGAGCTCGGATGAGCTGCGGCTGTGGGCCGCAATGAGCGGCGAAACAAGCGCGAGGCGTGACGCAGCCATGGATGGACGGAAGTGTTGGATGTAAGTGCGGCTGGGGGACACACGGCCTGGGTGGATGGGAAGGGGAGGGACCTGTGTGGGCACACTGCCTGGGCGCATTGACTGGGCGATCGGCACTCCATATAAACAGCGTCGCTTACTTGTAGGAGCCCACTGCATTCACGACGGAGAACACTCGTATCATATAGTACAAGGGAACTTGTGATGCAAGACTTGATTTGGCTTTGCTAAAAGCAACAACCAACCCCTAGAATTATACAGCCACCATTATACGAAATTTTTTTTATGAGGCTGGTTCATCATTGCTTCCTTTTACGCATCGACGCCTTCACTTTGTCAGCAACCTTTTTAGCTGCATCTGCCGCCGCCTTTTTAGAACCTCCAACCGCCTTTCTTGAACTGCCAGGCTCTTTCTTCACACTACCTACTACTGGAGATGGCACGGATGCAGCTACAGCTGCGGGGATGGGTACTGCAATCAGGGCTGCTGCTGCTGCTGCTGCTGCTGCTGGTGCCGGTGCTGGCACGACTGGGTCACCTGCTTGTTTGCTGCTACTACTGGCATCTGTATGCAAGTTAGAATTTGGCAGGGCCGAAATACTGCTGCTGTTTTTTTCTGGCATGCTCTTGTCAGTATCGGATGCATTAATGCTCTTTACTTGCTGACTCATTGGGGAGCTCCCATTACCAGCAATCCCAGGGGAGGCAGCAGCAGCAGCCCCAGTGACAGTGCCTGCAGTGCCAGATGCTGTGGCGCCCACTCCTGGTCTCTTCCGGCTCGAACCCTCTGACTGGGGTGATGATGGCTCACTGCTGCTGCTGCTGCTGCTGCTGCTGCTGCTGCTGCTGCTGCTGAGAGCATTCATGGCTGCAAATGCATCATAGGGAGGAGGTGAGTGGCATGGAGACAGCGAGCGGATGGAAGAGGGTGAGGTGAGTGGCATGGAAAGCACATGCAATTCCCTGTGCTCGCACACATGCTAAGGACAAGACAGCCACCCATCCCTTTTTGACAATCGTTTCAATACGGTGCGCACCACTCGCCAGACACCTGGGCCCAACCAAATGCATATCACATCCATCCATCCATCTCATCTCATCTCTTGCGCATCATTAACCCCATACAAACGCACACCCCAACCCACGCCTTCCCCATTCCCATTTTTACCAAAGCACTGGCGACGAAGCACCCACCTACCTAGCACACAGCCTGCATACCCCTCTGCGCCCTCATCCCCATTCCCATGCATACCTGCGCACTGGCGGGTGAACTCGTTGCGGGAGAGGGCAGTGCTGGCGCAGTAGGGGTTGTGGGGGCACTTGGCCATGGCGGCGCCCACGCACGCCCACTGCTGGCAGAAGGCAGGGTCCTCGTCCAAGACATTGGGCGATGACGCACGCACCCAGTACTTGGCTGATACCAGTGGGGCTGTTGACGCTGCCGATGGTGATGATGATGGTGCACTGCTGCTGCCGCTACCGCTGCTGCCACCACTGCTACCACCACCACCACCACCACCACCACCACTGCTGCTGTTGCTGCTGCTGCTGCTGCTTCCGCTCCAGTTCCCAAGCAGCTTGCAGTCCACAAAGCCGTCGCACCACGCCATCTCATGCACGCACTGCACGCCGTTGGGGCACTTGCGGTACCCCTCGCCGCACGCCCTCGCCCGGCACATAACAGGGTCCTCATCATCCGTGTACGGCCGCGTCTTGCTTGCATTCACCGTGCAGTCGTTGATGCCATTGCACCACCGGTTCTTAGCTACGCACTGCCTGCTGCTCCTGCACATCTCATCTCCAGCCCGTGCGCACGCCCTGCACACCCTGGGGTCCTCATCAGGAGAAAACAACAGAGAGGAGGCAGCAGATCCTGTCACTCCCGTACCCGTAGCCCTTGTGGATCCCGTAGCTGCAGTTCCGTTTACAATAGGGCAGTCATTCTTCCCATCACACATCTTAGAGGCGTCTATGCATGCATACGACCCCTCGCACTTGACCTGAGAGGGCTTGCACCGGTGGGACTGGCAGACAGAAGGGGATTCATCGAACGTGTATGGACGGGAAGCGTCTGTCACCGGGCAGTTGTTCTTGCCGTCGCAGAAGAGTGCTCGATTTATGCACGTCCAGCTAATGTCACACCGCCGCTCGGAGGAGTACCGGCATGGGAATGTCCGGCAGAACTGGGGGTCCTCGTCCTCGGTATAAGCCAACGCCTTGTTAGTTTTAGGGCAGTCGTTTGCCCCGTTGCAGAAAAGGTAGTCCGGTATGCACGTGTTACTGCTGTTGCAGTTGCGGTAACCAGCAGCACATGCGAAATTCGCGCAGAATTTCGGGTCTTCGTCATCTGTATACGGCATTGAGCCGTCCGTTACAGGGCAGTCATTACGCCTGTTACAAAAATCCCCTTCCCTGCGACACACGTTGCTGCTGCTGCACTTGGTATACCCTTGGGGGCACTCATACTCTCGGCAAAAACTCGGGTCCTCATCCGGAGTATAACGCGCGCTGGAGTCGGTAACCGGGCAGTCATTCTGCCCGTTACAAAACAAGTCTTTGTCCAAGCACGCCCAGCTGTCCTCACATTTGATCTCCGCCCCTTCCCGGCACTCAAACGTCCGGCAGATCTCAGGGTCTTCATCCTCGGTATAAGCCAACCCAGCATTGTCCTGTGTGTGCGGGCACTCATTCACCCCGTTGCAAAGAGCGCCGGGCGTGCAGGAGCCTGGGGAGGAGGAGCACTGCAGGCAGAAGCCCCTCTGCACGCAGTAGTCTAGGTCCTCATCTGACTTGTCGGTGCAGTCGGGGCGGCCGTCACACAGCATGCCGCCTGCTGCCATGCACCCAGAGCCAGGGCAGGGGTACTGGGGAGGGGGGGGAGGGGGGGAAGGGGGGGCGAGGGGGAAGGGGAGAGAGAGAGACGTTGAGAGCTGTGGTTGAGCAGTGCAGTGCAGTGCAGGGAGCAGGAGCAGTGCAGGGCATGCTGTATTCTCAAATCCTCGCCTGACTCTTATACGTGCAGTCGTGGTGGCCGTCACACAGCATGCTGCCTGCTGCCATGCACCCAGCGCTCGGGCAGGGGTACTGCGGAGGGGGAGGGGGAGAGAGGGACGCTGAGTTATGTGGTTGGGCATGTGGTGTTACAGGTGCAAGCACATGGGTGCAAATCTTCAAGGCAGGGAAGGAGCAAGGGTGAGAGAGTGAGATAGAGGGAGAAAAGGAAGGGGGGAAGGGTGGGGGAAGGGGGGGCGCTGGCAGAAAGGGTAGGGGAGAGAGTTGTGAAAAGGGATCCTCAAACACTCAACCACTTGCAAACTCCCCAACCCTTCCCAACCCTTCCAAAACCTTCCCATCCAAGCAGCCCAATCCCGCACCCTTCCTAGAGAACCCACCACCTTCCCTACAATCTACCTCCCCCACAACGCCCCGCCGCACCCACTAACCTGATTCACGGCACACCCTCTGGCAGTATGGACTGCGCTGCTGACTGCATCTTCAAGCATCGCCCTCCGTGTGCCTCCTCCCCCTCGTCCTATCAAGGCCCTTGTGTCCCCACGAAACACCCATGCGTCCCCACCCCCTTCTCTTCCTCCTCCTCCTCCTCCTCCTCCTCCTCCTCCTCCTCCTCCTCCTCCTCCTCCTCCTCCTCCTCCTCCTCCTCCTCCTCCTCCTCCTCCTCCTCCTCCTCCTCCTCCTCCTCCTCCTCCTCCTCCTCCTCCTCCTCCTCCTCCTCCTCCTCCTCCTCCTCCTCCTCCTCCTCCTCCTCCTCCTCCTCCTCCTCCTCCTCCTCCTCCTCCTCCTCCTCCTCCTCCTCCTCCTCCTCCTCCAACTTCCCTATGCCAGGTTGACTGGTCAGGCACGGCGGGCTGGGCGGGCAGTGCAGGTTCCGGAGCGCGGGCACGGCTGCGCGCGCTGCTGCGTCTGACAGGCGGAAACGTCGCGGCCTACGACGGGGGGAGAGGGTGGGGGAGACGGGGGGGAGAGAGCGGGACCCATGGGGAAGGGGCGAGTGCGGAAGGTGGGAGGGAGGGGGTAGGTAGGGGGGAGAGTGATGAAGGGAGGGGGGGGAGGAGAATAGAGTGCGGGCAGTGAGTGGGGGTATGTGGGAGAGAGGGGGAGGGAAGGCGGGGAGGGAGGGAGGAGGGATGGAGGAGGGGAAGGTGCGAGGATTTTGGCTCACCTGTTGTGTTTCAACGGCCGTTGCCACCGTGGCGGCCGTTGCGGCGCCAGCAAGACAGGAGAACGACACAACGACGACAGCGACGGCAGCGGCAAGGGCGAGAGGTGTAGTACACCCCATGCCGCGATACAGACAGCGATACAGACACACTGGCGGCCTCTGATCGCTTTGCTTTGAATAAGACTCAGTGACAGCGAAGGCGCGTATCGACTCGACGTCGTTCGCGGCTCTATCCCAACGACCAGCTCGACGACGCGCAGCGACTCGCCGGGAGTGTCGCTGTGATTGTCGCCAGGACCGTCGCCGACTCACGGCGTCGTCAGGTTCTGCGAATCGCCCTCGTCGCAGAGAACCGCGCCGGGCGACGACGAACTCCGTCGCGAAGACGACGCCGACGCCGACTCGTCTTCGGAGACACGGTGTCGCCGCCGCGTACCGCCGATCTCGGCAGAGGTGCTGTCGTTGTACTGTTTCTTGTGCTTCAAGTTGTTCCCGCCGCTGCTCTCTGCGACGACTCGGGTTCCCCTCTGCCATGAAATTCCACGGCCGAACAGAACAGGTTGATGACGCGAAAACGTAAGTAGATTAAATAAATTCTTCTCAGTTGAAAATCACGCGTTTTGCTCTGCTGCGAGAAACCTAGTACTGCCGAAAGCTCCAAGCTCGCCGCGCCGCGCTACAGTTTCAAATCCCTGCATTCGCGCAGCTTGGAGTTTGAAGCCGGGCCTAGTACTAATAAAGGTGCTAGGTCCGCGTTTTCCGGTAACAGAGCAACTGATACTTCCATAATGACCCTACTACTAGTAGGCGACGAGAGCCTAGAAGATAAATTCTAGAGGAAGCAAGCAGAGGACTAATGTGCGGGAGCTATCCTAATCTGCATACTGCCAGTCTTAGAAGACCTCTGCAGCGGCTCGCGCAAGACAGAGACGGTGCGACTGCGCTTCCAGATACCTGCGTGTGGCAACACGCCAGCATTTACGGCATATACGGAATGTGCGGCATGTCCGGCATGTCCGGCACGTATCATGACTGTGCTGTGTCAGCTAAGCAAGGATGCTAGCGTCGCGCGACTGCGACTGCGATGTCTGCGACGTCTGCGGCCGCTAACAAACACGTAGTTCTACGGTAGCAGGGTCGACGGTTCGCGGCTCGCTGCGCAATACGTCGATCGCTGTTGATGGGAGGGAGGGTGTGCTGCGAGAGCAGGTAAGCCCAAATTCCACAGGTACGCGTAGGGAAATCTACCTCGTACGACTCCGCATAGTTCCGCGTGCGGGCACATCCTGCATGGGGGCTTTCAGTTCTCCTCCCGAGTCCTAACTCAGGTGGTGTCCTCTAGGGTTGGGTTCGGTTTGGTTGGACAGTGGACAGTGGAGGACACAACACACCCATTTGTTGAGTCCTCCTGTCTGTCTGTTGTACAGCGGGTATGCCATTAGGTCCGTGACATTTTACTCCATATCATACTCCAAAGTCCGGAATTCGATAGGATCCACTACGATGTACTCTGTCTGTACGGTGTACAGGTACTGTTAGTTTTCGCTAAAAAAGCGCAATAAACATAGTGACCAATCATGACAGTCGCATAATGCCACCGACCATCGATTCGCGCCACCCGAATTGGGTGCGATTTCAGCATGCGAGATTCGCCAACCAACGCACAAGTGCGAGGTCGGAAAATCCCCGTGATTTGTGCTTGGTATTGCTTGGCAAATACGTGCATGCCAGGACGATGCTACGTAATCAGAGGTACTGCCACGACGGACGGGGGGGCGAACACATAATCATAGACGGTCCTATTCTAATCCTCGTGTCAAGAGCATTCGAGGCGTTTTTTTTTTATTTTGTTGAACCAATCACTTAAAAATTCTGGCTTCCCGTGTGACACGAACTGATTCGTCCCGAATAAGAAAACGCAACCCTCATTCCCTCAATCACAATATACAACTACACATTTCGAAACTGACTTTCCCAAGGGTTTTTTTTTTCGCTTTCCTAAAAACGTGTGGTTGGTTAAAGCCCGTAGCCCAAATTGCGAGGCGCGGCCTTCAAACGCATTGCGTTTGAAATTCACGTTTTCGTGGGTGTAGATGGGGGTAACGTAACTCGAGTTACTTGGGGCTGGCTTTCAAGTTCAACGGGGAATGTATTTTGGGACACCAAGTGCCTTGCGTTTTTTTAGCCGTCCAACATTTGTCGATTTCCATCTAACGGCGCGTACGTAAAGTGCTTCCCCTAGTCAATCGAAATGCAATCTCAGCCGTCGCACTGTCTGCTTGCAAATCGGACGATCTACGACAAATGACGAATTCGCGATATGAAATACCCTTACGAGTTTCATGTGTATTTCGTCCAAGTCGAGGCTCACAGTTCATACGCAGTGCGTATGAACGATTTGGGCCGCGGGTTTTAACACATTTCGAAAATGATGTCGTAATCATTTCGGAAATGATTTTCTCAAGGGGTTTTTTTCGCTTTCGTAAATGTCACGTGGTTGTTTAACGAAACCGCACAATTCAGTCGTCAAAATTTTGTTCCGTTTTGCCTTTTTCGTAAGACCACGAAAGGGGTTTTCCAAATTATTTTTTTTGCGCGTTATGAGCCTGCGCTGCTGGCACGAAGGTCGATAACAAGGTGTTACTTTTTTTGTCCGCAATCATTCTGACCAGACGATAAATTCGCTGAGTGTTTTTTAAGAGGCCACATGAGCCTTCACATGACACGCGGCGAAAACGCTAGTAAGCTGGCCCAAGTGGCCAATACGCCAAGGCACCCATCGTGAACAGAACGAGTAAAACGGCCTATGCCACCCCACCTAAAAGCATTCGTGCTATTCTATAATCCATTTTGCCCGTTGTGAACCGCTCCTATTCATCTAAGTTGATATTTTCGACTCGCGGATTTGGAGCATAGAGCATACCCCCTATATAGGTTATGCAAGAGTATGTGTGTCGGCCATGATAAGGGCTAGGCCAGGAACTATACCAGGTGTCCAGGGAGTCCTGGAAAATTGACTGGGCCCACCCCCCAAACTGCGTCCATCCGCCACCAATCACGGGCAACGGCCCTTTCACCTGATCTATTCACCCGGGTTTTGTGGCACCTGCAACACGGCAGCGGTGAAAGTGTCCATGCAATGGAGCTCGCGAAAGCACAAGTGTCCACACAATGGCTCATTCTCCCGTGGCGAACACTGGCAGAAAAAGTGTGCACATTACGCCCACGCGGTTCGTCAATATCATGGCTGGACGGTGCGCACCCGGTGTACCCCTCCACTCCACTCCACAGTCCCACTACAGACCAGACCAGACACAAGCGCTGCCAGAAGAATCGCACTTTGTTGCGTGTTCGGCTAGGTTGGGTTGAGTGGTTCCGCGATAGGTTAGATAAGGTTTGGGTTGGGTTCTCAAGCACTCTGCGATAAGTGTCTGGTGGTTCTACAGTACTTGGCTCCGCTGCGCAGCGCAGGTGTAAAATGAGGTCGAGGGCAAAAATGTGCCGTATTCGTTGTTGGTCACGCATAGCGACGCGATAAAAAACAGAGGAAATCAACTGAGAAGAAGAACCAGCAATGGTAGAAGAATGGTTGAGGCATATGAGGTTCATTCAAGATGTGGGTTGCATCCCTTGTACTTGTAACACTGAAAAAAAAGGCTCAAGAGTACTTCTGCTATTTCTTCTCGCCATTGTGCGCAACATAAGCTTACAGCAGGAAGTCATTTTCAGCTGCTACTACAACAAAAATCATAAATGCGTGTACATCACAAACCCCACCAGGAAATTCCAACCCAGCCCACACCACAAAGTAGCACACAGCAGCAACAACCCTTCATTCTGGCATCTACCACTTGCCCTTCCTTGACTTGGATGGTTTCTTGCAAGCTGGCAAAGGCTTGCTGCACAGCTTAGCATTTCCGGGGCGAAAAGAAGCCACTCGCAAATAAGAAAGGCCCTGAGGGACAGAGCCAGAGAGGGAGTTACCCGCCAGCTGAATACCCATGGATGGAGTAGCAGCGCCTAGCAGTGGTGGAATGACTCCTGACAAACCGTTCCAAGATAAGTCCAGTTCTTGCATGGACTCGAGCGATGCCAGCTCTGCAGGGATGCTGCTGCTGATGCGGTTGCGCGAGGCTACGAGGGAGTGCAATGCGGTGAAGAGGGAGATAGATTCGGAAATTGGGCCGGAGAGCTGGTTGCGGGAGAGACTGAGGGAGAGGAGGGAGGAGGTACAAGAGGAGGCGGAGAGGAGAGGGGAGAGGGCACCAGAAAAGGAGTTGGAGGAGAGGAGTAGAGTGTTGAGTTTTTGCTGCTGATCCTGGCAAAAGGAAGGTAAAGAACCATTGAGCTTGTTCCCCGAGAGGTCCAGGTGGGTGAGGGCTGGGGCTTGGGTGAGAGCCAGTGGAAGCGGCCCAGACAGCAGGTTGTTTCTCAGGTTGAGGTAAGAGAGAGGGGAGTCCGGGGGGGAAAGCTGAGGGGGGATGCTGCCAGAGAAGAGGTTATACGAGAGGTCCATGTGAGTGCAAAGCGAACAGAGCGTGGGCGGGAGGAGGGACCCCTGGATCCGGTTATGGCTAATATCCACAACTGTCAATGTCTCGCTGGTGAAACTGAAGGCACCTGAGTAAACACCTGAAAATCTGTTCCAGCTGGCATTCAGGTGCTCCAGAGTAAAGCCCAGCAACGGGAAATCCCCGTCCAGCCAGTTGTGAGAGACATCCAGTCGCCTGATGTGTACCACGTAGATTCCAGGGATCGAACCGGTGAGCTTGTTGTACGACAAGTCGACGGCGCCGACCCCATAAGCCAGACGTATTCCGCTGGGAATGCTGCCGGAGAGGAGGTTGTGCGAGAGGTCCAGCTCGGCATGAACCGCCAGAGTTGCAGGGATGGTTCCCGAGATCTGGTTGTGCGACACGCGCAGCACTTTCAGCCGTGGCCTCCCACTCAGCATCTCGTCCAGAGTCCCAGTGATTCTGTTGTGGGAGACGCCAACCGCACAGGCTGACCTGTTAGAAATTGGGGGGATGGAGCCCGAGAGCTGGTTGAACGAGGTGTTGAAGACGCTGAGAGTGGGGGGGAGAGGGGATAGAGTGTGGATGTTGCCGCAGAGCTGGTTGCTGGAGAGGTCTAGGGAGGTAAGCAGAGGGAACAGCCCTCCTAGGCCCCACAACGCAGTAGGCGGACTGGACCTGGCTGCAGCAGAGACTGCACCTGAACCAGCAGCAACAGCAGCAGCAGCAGCAGCAGCAGCAGGAGGGTCAAATCTAGCAGCAAGAGCTGTGAGGTCGCCCTGGAGAAGGTTCCCCTGCAACAGCAGCTCCCTCAGCATCCACAGCGCGCCAAGCTGCCTTGGCATTCTGCCCTGCAGCTCGTTGCGGTCCAGAGCCAAGTGGCAGAGGGACGTCAGGCCCCCGATGCTTGCCGGAATGGGCCCGGATAGAGCATTCCCGCCCACGTCCAGTGACTCTAACGAGGGCGACAATATCGAGGCGCTGCTGTCCGGGATGAGAGCCCCTGTAAGGTTGTTCTCCTGGAGGTTGAGCTCTTGTAACGAGGATATGGTGTAGAGGGAGCAAGGAATGGGCCCGGAGAGGTGGCGGTTGGAGCCGAGATCGAGAAAGACAAGGTTGGTGAGGAGGGAGAGGGAGTGAGGGAGCGAGCCGGAGAGAGTGTGGTGGGAGATGCGGAGCGAAGTGAGATGAGTAAGCTCCCCCAAAGCAGCAGAGAGAGACCCAACCCCCCCAGACAAACCGTCCACAAAGAAACGGACTGGCGAAGGGAACTCGGGCGGGGTTTTATCGCACGCCCAGTTACAATGTGAATCAGTCTCGCACTCGGCTGATTCAGGGAGGAAGCCGTCATGCATGGTGACATTTTCCCCGCCCAGCAGGTGCAGGGTGTCCACATGGCCGTCTGCAGAGCACCCCACGCCGTACCATGCGCACGGGGTGCTGCTGTCCAGGTCCCAGCTCTTCAGTAATGACGCCCAAGACGTCATTCCACCATCGCCTGGCACTGCTGGTGATGCGCCAGCCTCGCTTGCTCCCGTCTCTGCATCCCCCCCTTCTCCCCCTGCTGCTCCCCCCCTTCTCCGCCCGCCCCCCCCCTGCCGCTCCCCCCAGCAGCGCATCCCGTACTGCCAGCAGCGCAGCAGTCTCGGCAGCAGAGGGCTGGACGCCAGGAGTCGGTGCCGGCAAGCAGCCTTTCCCCACGGCCCGCGCCATGTGCTCGCTGTTGTTATTAACTCGCAGCTTATCCCAGTCATAGTCGCCGTTCAACCACCACTTCTGCACCGGACCAGAAAGTTGGTTGAACCGGACGTCTAGGCGGTGGTCCTGTGTGCTTGCCGCAAACAAAGACTCGTAGAAAACTTCCGGAATGCTGCCCGTGAAACCGTTGTGGGACAGGTCCAGAACGGCGATCTCGGGCACGGAGAAACCTTTCAGGCTGCCCGTGAGGCTGTTACCGCTCAGGTTCAGGTGAAGGCGCAGCGGCCTATACACCGCGCCCCAACAAGATGGACCCAGAGGGAAGCGCCCCGACGCGTTGACTTGCAGGAAATAGTTGACCGGGATGCTTCCCCGCAGCCCCGCGCGAGGCGCGCTCAGCAGGTGCACTTGCGCGGGCAGCGCGCAGCCGTGAAAGGCATTTTCCTCCGCGCCGAAATCGTTAAACCCCACCCAGACTTCCCGTGCGGGCAGAATCGCCTGGCAGAATGGTCCCGTAAGCTCGTTCTCGTCGAAGCGCGCGACGTCGAGGCGCGGAAAGGAGGCGAGCTCCTTGGGAATACCGCCGGAGAGGCGATTCGCGCCGACGTCCAGGCGCGTGAGCGCGGTCATCTGCGTTATGGCGCGCGGAATCTCCCCCGACAGGCGGTTGCTGCGCAGCAGGAGCGCCTCGATGCTCCGCGAATACACCTCCGCGGAAAGTTTCCCCGCACCCGCCCCCTCAACCGCCGGCGCGGCAGCCTCCCCCGGAAGCTCCCCCGAGAGGCTGTTCCGCTCCAGGTTCACCACGCGGAGCGCGGGCAGGCGGAAGACGCCGCGCGGAACGGGCCCGGAGAAGTTATTCCCGGGCGCCCCGAGCACCGCCAGCTTTTGGAGCCGCGAGAGGGAGTCCGGGAGCGCGCCGGCGAGGCGGGAATTCGCGAGAAACACGGAGACGAGCTCCGGTAAATCCCCTATGGCGGGGGAAAGCTCGCCGAAGGGCTGACCTAGTAGATCTAGGTCCGACGCCGGAACACCGTTGGTAGACCGGTAGTTGTGCCGGGCCGTGAAGCCGAATTCGTCTCCGGTGAATAATCCCGTGATGCGGCCTTGCGCGGTGCACTGTATCGGGAAGTACGAGGAGCATCTGGCGCTGCAGCAGAAGGAGATCTTGCCATCTGGACCGTAGATCCTGGTGGGCGCGACGTCCCCGAAGCTCGCGGATTCGTTGAACCAGGCGAAGATGGAGGGAAGGAACGCGGCGTGCACGGCTCGCACGGCGACGATGTCGGCCGCTGCGATCGCGACGATCGCCTGATTGGTCGCCTGTGCGACGACGGGCGACGGGTGGGCGAGGGAGAGGAGAGCGAGGAGAGCGAAGAGGGAGGGGAGGAAGGAGAAGGGGACTGACACCATGGTTCGTCGAGACGCGGTCGAGACGCGGCTCCAAGTGAACCCAGGAAGATGCACTCTTGAGATGGTTCACTTTTAAACGCTGAAGTCGGCCAAATCGCGAGAGTTTATCCTATGGCGCAACGCTTGATGCAAGGAGAGCGACGGCAAAGATCACTTCTAACACCGGCGATTGCGACTGCGATGGCGACGGCGACGGCGACGGGCGTCCTAACTGTGGTATCGCTGCCACTACCACTAGCTGCAGCAGTGCAACAACTCGGTAAAGTCCGGATGCTGAGTAGAGGAGAGACACATCGAGTAGGAGGAGTGGGAGTAGGAGTAGCACTCGAGGCGAGAAGGCGCGAGATGCTAACTGGGCGTACATGCACGACTTGGAGTGAGTGTTTCAGGATGAGGCGCACTGTGGGTAAACGTGGAAGGAGGTTACAATTAGTATCAGCAGTGCTGCCATCTGTTCTAGCGAGAACCGGGAGGGGTTTAGAGCAAGCGACGCGAGTTTCTCAGGTGTCGCCGTCAAGGGCTTGCGACGCGAGTATCTCAGGTGTCGCATCGTTCGAGGAGGGAGGCGCCTGGCGAAAAACATAACGACCCTAGCCGCTGCAGCAATTGCTGCTGCTGTCGTATACTCGCTCGCACGAACTGCGGCGTGCATGATGCGACCGCTTGCGCGCTGATGGGGGCGTTCGCGACCTGAGCACATCATACTACTAGTCCAACGCACCGGAATATACTTCCTTATCCAGCGCACCAGAGTAAAGCACTCCGTGCGGGACTTTCGCAGAGGAGAGAGAAGTTAACTAGAAATACCGGCAGGGGGGCGCAAGGAACGGAGAGATCGAGCAGGACTGGAGAAGAACCTATGGAAGCAAGGAGTCGCGTCGCGAAGGGAAGAGCAGCGACAACAATCATGCACGGGGCAGAGGTGAAAGGGAGCAGTACAGTAGAGGAGGGGGAGGTTGAGCAGAGGCAACTCTGGTTCGAGGAAGAATGCGGTGAAGCATGGTGCGGTCTATTTCTGATCGTTCCAGTGCGTTAAGCAGGGATTCTTCCGCGAGTTCACACGGCGAACCCAGCTCTAAGGCGAGACACAACGAAAGGAGAGGGGAGCGGAGGGGAGAAGGGGAGGTAAGTCTGGTTGGGGTGGCGGTTTGGGAAGAAGGGGGGTTAGGATTGATTTACTGTACAGCGCGGAAGCGGAGGCGAAGATGAAGCCGAGCCGCATGTTGGGGGGGATCATCCCTGAAACACCCGATAAGCCCTTCCTCTCAGTTGTGTTCGTTTCGACTTATTGGGCGCGTACCTGATGTTATTATGTGTGTGAATATTATCTTCCCCATTCAGGAGTCCAACCTACGCTTTTCCTGGCCTTGGTGGGGCCCATTTCAAACCGAGGCAATGAAAACGAGGCATTATTGGCTTCATGGCACTCACAACAAACATACCAAAACATTGTATGCACTATAACCCAAGATGTTTCTTGTTACGTTTACCAGCCTAATCCCAAGTCAAGTGTACACATCATGAAGCACCAATGAGGTTAGTTAGTAACGGGTTAGTAATCAGGTCATGTATTAGGTAAGACGGTCAGCATCTCCTGAGGTCACCAGCAGCTTCACGACACCTTCTTCTCCGTCTTTGCCCCGTGCTTCCGCTCGACGTGCGCCCAACTGATTCCTCCGCAAGAGCAGCAAAGTGAAAGAGGCCACTCGGAGGAGCCATGGCACCATGCTCAGGAGCCATCAGAGAGTTGGTGGTTGAAGTCAGCTGTGTGGTTGGTCCTGAGAGCAGCGATGCCTCCGCTGCAGCAAGCAGCGGCAGGGGCGACGTTTTGGCAGCTGCAGCAACAGCAGCAGCAGTAGCAGCAGCGGCTGATTCTAGCCCTTGTGAGCGTGTGAGCCACGGGTGCGAGAGTAGGTGGAGCGCTGAGGGACGGCTGGTGGGGTCCACTGACAGCAGGCAGCGCACGAGGTGCTTCGCCTCCTCAGATATCTCCGTCCACGGCTCGCCTGACATGTCAGGCTCGTTGGCGCAGATGGCGAGGAACACCTGGGGGAGGTCGGACCCGTAGAAGGGCACGTATCCCGCCAGCAGGACATATAGGAGCACGCCGAGGCTCCAGAGATCTGCGCTGCTGTCGTATGCGCGCCCGCAGACGACTTCTGGGGCCATGTAGAAGGAAGAGCCCGCCAGGCCGACGGCTTTCTGCCCGGGAGTGAGCATTATCGCCTGCCCAAAATCCGCCAGCTTCACATGAATTGAAGGCGAGGAAGCTGGGGAGCTGATGCTGTCAACGCCGCTGGCCTTGTTATAGATGTTCCGCGAGCTGTTACAAACGAGGATGTTCTCCGGCTTCACGTCCAGGTGCAGCACCCCGTGCGAGTGGCAAAACGCGACTGCCTCCACCACCTGGCGAAACACGTCCGCGGCGAACGCCTCAGGCAGTCGCCCAGCCTTGGCGATAAGATCAAACAAATCGCCACCGTCGCACAGGTCCATCACGAGATGCACGTCGCACGCGTCTTCGTGAACGCTCGCGAGCTGGACCACGTGCGGATGCGGCGGGAGCGCGCCCATGCACAGCAGCTCCATTTCTAAGTCGCCCGCGCGCTCGCCTTCTCTTAGCCGCGTCTTGTCGACGGACTTACACGCGAGCAGCTGCCCCGTCGCACGCTGCATGCACGTGCGCACCACGCCGAACTCTCCCCGGCCCAGTTCCTCCCGCGCGACCGCGTACACGGCTTCGAGCGGCGCCGTCGCGAACGGCAGCATGCGGGCCGCTGCATTGGCGTCTGAAGTACCAGTAGTCGTGCTTACAGGTGCTGCTGCCGCTGCTGTTAGTAGCCGCTGCGACATGGATGCGAAGTCCTCCATATCCATTGGAGATGATGACACTGCTGATGCTGATGCTGATGCTGTTGCTGTTGCGTTTGAAGCCAGCGTGACTTGAGCGTCGTATCTCAGTAGCCGCGACGCGTCGACCATCGCTCCTCCTAACTCTGCCGCCATGATAGTAATCAACTGCTTCTATCGAAATCCCAGAACGAAGGTTTGGGGGGGCGGGGGGTTGTGCTTTTGTGTCTGTTTCCTACTAGTAGCAAGTCGCCAAAGAACAACCTTCTGACAAAGAATCGCGTTCAGTGGGAAAGGACCAAATTTATGGCTCTGGAAATCATCCGCCGCACACTGACATTCTTGGCCCCTATCATATACCACGGCGCATCATCCCCGCGGCGAAACCCTCCCACCCTCTCATTCATTCGCACCAACGAACGACTCATTCGGCGTTCTCCAGCACCGCCTCTGCCGCTCGTCATCTTCCTCTCCTCCGCCGAAGGAACTGCTTTGGTTTGGGGGCACCTGCTACTACAGTGCTGCTACAGTACTCTCATGCACCTATGCCCCTGCCGCTTATTCGGACTGAGGTTCGATTCTGTAACAGGACGCCTGCAGAGGAGTGGTCAAGCCACCATCGCCATCATCATTCCGACGAGTCGTTGGTGCTCACGCAACGGGACGGTCTACGCAGCTGCAGCTGCAGCAGGCTGCTAACGAGCCGTCGCGTGCGAACGACCAGGGGGCACCACCACAGGCCTCCTAGGCGCATGTGCTAGGACTCCTCGGAAGAGCGTATGCGCAACTGTACACGCCATTCGCCGAGCACTGACTCCTGAGAGCCGCAAATTGGAAACTAACACAAAGCGCCTCCCCCAGAGAGAACCCATTCCGAGCCGCGTGAGTGGAACTGTTCTGTACTGTACTGTACTGCTGGGTACTTAGCTTGACCTGGTTGCGCCTCCGCACGCGTTCTGCAGAAACGAATCCGTTCTCCAAGCACGATGTGCCACGTCTGGTGCTGGCTTCACATGACGCGGAGAGCCAACAGATGCGGCAGCCTTGGTGCCCCTAGTGCAGTCAGCCCCTCGTGAAGGGGAGAAGAGGCGAGCAACAGAAACGATTTTTTTTTTGTCCATGTGCGACCTGGTTGTTACCCTGGTCCATGTGTTCCTAACCTATACACCTGTTTCAAGATAAGAAAGAAGATGTTTTTCACGCGGTTCGAACCTGTTCCCCAGAATTTTCAAAACACGGGCTAACGGGACATCAGCCTGGAAAATGCACAGTAACTCCCGGGCAAAATGTCGAAACGTTTCGGCAGAGTTTGATGTTTAATGCGGTTTAACTCGGTACCTGGTGTTTTGGGCTGAACATAGGGGGACGATAATTGCAACTGGGACCCTAGGGGTGACAGGATCTGGCGGGAATTGCAATTTGGACTGTTCGTATGAAAACCATATCGTAGAACAAGTGTAGTACAGGTTAGTGTACCTGCCGTGCGTGTCAGGTTCGGTTAGGTTTGGGCTAGACTCGAACCAGGCAACAGGAGGCGCGAGGTGGTTGCTCCGTGCTGGCAAACCTGCCGAGGGCAGAAGGAGGCTCAACTGTCATGTGCTCTGCTGTGCTGTGCATGCTTGCTTGCAGGTGCTCTGTTGCAGGCAGGGGGTCAAGGCACTCCCTACCGACGTGGATTCGCCTCTCCCACCGACATGGGTTGGGAATCAAGAAGGCGCGATGCTATTGGTCGAAAACATATCTATCACCAGGATTCCAGTACAGTAGCAGCAAAAGTCGGTGGGGTTAGTGGTTTGGGTTTGGATGGGGTTCCAGCATCCAATCCAATGCCTTGCGCATGCGTCGGGGAACGATCTTCTGAATACGGTACAGTATGGTACCTCTGCAGCAACTGATTCTTATGTGTCAGTGACAGTGGCCTGGCCAGCAAGGCACAACGCCAGTGGCCTGGCCAGCAAGGCACAACGCCTGGCAGCCTGCCAGGCCTACCAACCATGAACCTGTTTCCCAGGTTCGACAACAGCGAGCCGACGTTTTTACCGTACTGGAAACTTCAATAGCGTACCAAAATCTTTCTGAAAACTCTCTATTCCCCGAGCTTGAGGTTCTGCAAACCTGGAAAGCAGGTTCGTGCTCCCAAACCAACGAAGCTGATGATGGATTTCATCCTGGTAGTTGAGAGCCACTTGACCTCTCGACTCGTTTTGGGGGACCTCTTGACGCGTTTTGATGGTACGGGTTGAAAGTTTTCCTGCATTTCCTAAATATTGACTGATATTTTCTTGAACTTTCAGGGCACGATGGATACCTGCTGGAAGGATCAGGTCTCCCAACAAGAATTTAGGAGGAACGAGGGGGAGAGGCAGTGGCTGGGAGCAGTAATGCCCGACAAACTAACAGGATGGTAGTGCTGGTTAGAGAAAAACCTGAATTCGGGTGCAGTGGGTGGATACACCAGCTGCACGGCACCTGAATTCGGCCAAGACTGAGCCCAGCGACCGAACAAGCCCTGAGAAGTACTGGTAGTTCCTCAGTCTTATCGAGAGACGTGGGGCTGTGTTTCACGGAGGCCAGATATGTTAGGCTGGTCACAAACACTACTTTGAAAAACAGACAACTCACGAAGAACCGCCCTGACTTCCTGAGGGCCATTGGGCGAGCCGAATCGCTTTTCCGGCGGAGGCGCAGAGAGTTCACGCACCGCAGGCGAACAGCCAGAAAGTAGTGGGAGCAGAACCTGGGTTTCACAACTACACCGGGTGCGCACCGCCGTCCCTCGGTTTAGACAAACCGCGTGGGCGTAATGCACACCCTTGTTTCGCGAGCTTTTGCCACGGCAGAATGTGCCATAAAGTGGACACGGGTGGTTTCGCACAAACGTAAACCTGGTGTCAGAATTTCTTATTTGTAGTTCTAAAAGTACCCCCTTTTGAGATAATGAGAGGTGCATTATGGTGCGTCACGACAATGCGCGGTTTTTGTGGAATTTTGAAGGTGGGCGTCTTCTATGATTTTTTTCGCAAGGACATGCTGGCCTCCTCTGTGTCGCAGGTGCCACAAATCGCAGTTGAATGGGCCATCAAATGAAAGGGCCGTTGCCCCTGATTGGTGGCTAATGGGCGCAGTTTTGGGGTTGGGCTCAGTCAATTTTCTAGGACTCACTGGACACCTGGTGTATACAACCAACCTGTCAGTACAGAACCTTTTACAGCACCTTTAGCTGTGATGACAGGTTGGTAACAACCACATTGGCCATGTTATGAATGAACAAGCAAAGTAGCGCGGAAATGAATAACGAGATGTTCACTCAATGAATGACGATACAAGGAATGGCAAGCCAAGATATAGGAACACCAGAGCTAGTCTAACCATGACATGGTAAGGTTCGGGAAAGAGATCGAAGGGTGTCGAAGTGACGAAGTGAGGCTCGGAGAACTCCCGAAGGTCGAACTGGAAGGCCTGGAGAAGCCGAGGCGGTCATGTCAGAAAGGTCTGGAATAGTCCCGAGGCTTCGGGTGTGTTTGAGCGTACGCGATAGCAGTACCGCTCGGTAAGGAATGGAAAATTCCTTATACCACCCCCACCCTTAGCGAAGGTGATCTATATCAGCCACGTGCTTGCGGTCCAAATAACACGTGCTGCGATCGTGGTACTTGACTTTCAATGCTGGTGGAGACGGATACGGTGGGGTCCATCCCGTAATTGAGATAAACAAGGAGTGATTAGTCGTAGATGAGGGCACGTTGTTGTAGGAAAATTCCAACATGGGCAGCACGTCCTCCCATTTTTTGCGGTCGGGGTAGTTTGTCCGAATCAGCTGCTCCATCGTTTGATTTGTCCTTTTAGTATGGCCGTCCCTTTGGGGATGATATGCGGATGAAAACTGTAGACGCGTGCCATACCGAGCCCACGTGTCCTGCCAGAATTTTGACGTGAACTTCGGATCTCGATCGCTAATGATTGCTGCTGGTATCCCGTATAGATGAACAACGGTCGAGATGAAGAGACGCGCGGTTTCTTCGGCTATGATGGATGTACGACATGGTGCGAAATGCGTCATTTTCGTCAATCGGTCGACGACGACCAAAACTGCGTCGTTTCCGCTGGGTCCGGCCGGTAGTCCCGTAACGAAATCCATCGTTACGTGCTGCCATGGGCGTTGAGGTGGCTCGAGGGGCTGCAACAGTCCTGTAGGTCACTGGTGTGACGACTTCATTCGCTGGCAGATCGGACACGCGGCCACGTAACACTGCACGTCCGTCACCATATCTGGCCAGTAATAAAACTGCTGGAACGCCTTCAGAGTTTTATCAACCCCGAAATGTCCCGATAAATTCGAATCGTGGACTTCTTGGATTAGTAATTCGCGAAGTAGACGATAGCTTGGGACCCAAATTCGATCAGTTCCGCTTCGTAAGTAATAGACGCCTTTCCGTGTAGTGATTGGGAGATGGCAGTCGTTTACGAAGAAGGGGTCAGTCGAATACCCGTTGGTAGCGGGTTGCTCTGGGCGACTAGTACTGCTGCGAGCTGGGCAGATGGTCTGGAAAGGGCGTCGGCAATATTGTTTGCGCCTTTTTTATACGTGATCTTGTACGTGAAATTGGACTCCAGATAGTTCAGCCAGCATATCTGCCGCCGGTTGAGATTCGGCTGCGCTCTCAGGTACTGTAGCGATTTGTGATCGGTTCGCACTGTCACGTCTGCTCCAGTCAGGTAGCACCTCCAGATTTTGAACTCGTGGACGATCGCCAGCATCTCCTTGTCGTGTACCGGGTAGTTGCGCCCAGCAGATTGCATTTTCCGAGACTCGTACGCGATTGATTGAAGACCATTGCCGAAATCTTGCATGAGCACTGCTCCGATGGCGATGTCACTTGCGTCAATGATTACTTCGGAGGGCCGTTCCGGGTCAGCGATGCGAAGTACCGGTGGCGACATTAAAAGATTTTTTAATGTATCGAACGCAGCTTGCTGCTTCTCCCCCCACCCGTAAAAACTCCCCTTCTGCAGTAAAGTCGGTTAGAGGTCCAGTTAACCCCGCCATGTTGGGTATAAACCGCCGCACGTAATTTACGAAACCCAGAAATGATTGCAATTGCTGCAGATTTGTTGGCGGTTTCCACTCCTGAATGGCCCAGAGTTTTTTCGGGTCTATCCGAATCCCCTCCGTGGAGATCACGTGCCCCAGGAAATCCAGTTCTTGTTTTAAAAACTCGCACTTGGAGGCCTTGGTGATGAGTCGATGCTGCTGCAACAGCTGAAAAACCGCTTCCAAATCTTTTAAATGCTGCTCCCAGGTCTTGCTGTGGATCAGAATGTCGTCCAGGTAAATGATTACGCATTTGTCGAGTAGATCGCGTAACACCCCGTTCATGGTGAGTTGGAATGTCGAGGGGGCGTTCGTTAATCCAAACGGCATCACCGTGTATTCGTAACTCCGATAGCGATTTCCGAACGCGGACTTGTGGCAGTCGTCAGCGAACACTCGAATTCGATGGTAACCGCCACGAAGGTCGATCTTCGAAAAGTAGCGAGCTCCGCGAAGGTTGTCGATCATTTCGTCCGTTCGTGGGATTGGGTAGCGCGATTTTATCGTTACCCGATTAAGGGCACGATAATCCATACACATGCGAAGTCCGCTGTCCTTTTTTGGTGTGAACATGATCGGTGCTGCGAACGGTGGCGTGCTTGGCCGAATGAACCCTTTCGCCAGCAGGTAGTCCAGCAAGTTTCGTAACTCCTGTAGCTCCGGCAAAGTCAGGCGCCATTGCGTGCGTACAGTAGGTTGCGCGCCGGGCTCCAGCTCGATTCTGTGGTCCTGGGGTCGTTCGGGTGGCAATCCATTTGGCAAGTCGTCGGGGAAAATCTCAGGATATTCCCGAATGATTTTCGCTAAGTCATCCGGGACCGAGGCGCAGAGTTTGTTGATGTCGGTCGCCTCATTCTGCTCCGTCGATTCGGTTAGGTGGACAGCGTATAAATCCGCTCCATTCTTGATCGCTCGATTGAGGCACACCGCATTGATTCGTGTCGATGTTGTCTCTGCTTCCGGCCACGTGCGACAAAGGTTGGCGAAAATTACCCACGTGGCCGGAAGCAGAGACAACATCGATGTCGTCCAATCGATCTGCGGGTTGAGTCTTCGCAGCCAATCGCGTCCCAATAGCACGTCGTAGCCGTCGAGCGTTGTCGCCAGCATTGGCGCGCTGAAACCAAAATCTTCGCCACACTTCATTCGAACGACGGGTTCTTTGTCGCGTATCGCCAGCGGGGTGCCGTCCACCAATCGCTCGTCGATTTCGGGCAGACACCTCTCCAGCGTCAGGTGTAGTCGTCGTGCTGTCTCTCGATTTATCAGGCTGTGACTCGCACCTCCGTCGATGAATATTTTTATTTTTCTTCCATGGAGTCGTCCCTCTGCCAGTACAGGGTGGTCCACTGGGTCATCCTCATTTTTCAGCCGGGAGCGGTTGATAGCATGTATCGGAACCACTACTCGGTGGGGATGTTGTTTTTCGGGCGATGAGGCAGGGTCAGTAGGGGGCCCGACCGCTACTGACGCTTGGCGTTTCCCGACCTGCCTTCGTCGTTCATCTTTATGTGCTTCTTTCGGGGGCAATCGTGAGATTGGTGACCCGGCTAGTGGCAGTTGAAACATTGTCCCTTGCGAAAATCTTCCATGTGCTCCTTCACCACCACGCCGTGAATCGTGGGCCGTGGATTCTGGCCACGAAAACGATTTACCTCCCGGGAACCCGCTCTCGCATACGTCTGATGTGCGTCGAAGTTGTCTGCGATCCGGACGACTTCGTGAAACGTCGCCGGTAGTCGCAGCCAGACCTCGCATTTAATGTCCTGCTTCAAACCCGAAATGAATCGAGCTTTCTTCTCAGAGTCATGCATGTCGATGATTTGATCTCATAACACCATGAAGACCGACGCGTAATCCTGGACAGAACTCCACTGGCGCCAGTTGTCCAGCTTCATGCGTGCGTTGTTTGAGGCGGATATTGGTTCGAAACGTTCACGCAGAGCTGTACCCCGTGCCTTCCACGTGCGAATCTTGGTCGATCCAAAAATCGCGGTTGACCCTTGGGCAGCAGACCCAAAGTTTCCGAAAAACCCCTGTGTATCGCCTGCCGAAAACTCCCCCTCTTGTAGAGTATATCACCACCAATCTAGCGCAGGTCCCCGCAGTAGTGATACAGCCAGTCGAATTTTTAAATCGTCAGCAGTGATCCCAGCGGCGTTGAAATAAAGTTCCGCCGAAAATAACCAGCCCGTAACAGTAGTATTCTTATCTGTGGGGTTGAACGGGGGCGGCATTGTCGGTTTGATCGTCGCTGTTGTCACGATCGGCATAAACGCCGGTGCGGCTACAATAGCGGCTGCTTCTGACCGAGCGGCTGCTGCTGTCGCTGCTGCTGCTACTGCTGCTGCTGCTTCGGCTGTTCTCGTGCTGCCACGTCAGCTGCTGCGGCGTCTTCACTGTCCTTGCACTCCTATGACACCTCACGTGCGATTTCGTCGAAGACGGTTTCGACACGTCCGGTGGTGGCGACCTCTTCTTGGGCGGCAGATTTCCGACGCGAATCCTCTCGCGCTTGGCGTAACTCAGCAACTTCCGCACGAAGTCGCTCGTTGTCCTCCAACACTATAGCCATGCGTGTGTTCATGGCGTTGAACTGCTCCCGAAGCTCGTTGAACTGAGCTTGGTCCATTTGGCGAATGCTCCGCCGGGGCAGGGGGAAATCCGTAATGTGCATGTACCCAGGTAAGCGCAAACGCTATCATAGTTGGGCGAATTAATCAGTCTAATTCGCGAGCAACCGCTTTGCAGCTTATGTGAGGGACTTACCCCCCCCCCCCCCCCCCAAAAAATCAACTCACGAAAACGGGTGAGCGAGGAAAGTGGCTCTGAATACCAAGTGTTATGAATGAACAAGCAGAGTAGCGCGAAAATGAATAACGAGATGTTCACTCACTGAATGACGATACAAGTAGTGGCAAGCCAAGATATAGGAACACCAGAGCTAGTCTAACCATGCGATGGTAAGGTTCGGGAAAGAGATCGAAGGGTCTCGAAGTGACGAAGCGAGGCCCGGAGAACTCCCGAAGGTCGAACTAGAAGGCCTGGAGAAGCCGAGGCGGTTCTGTCAGAAAGGTCTGGAATAGTCCCGAGGCTTCGGGTGTATTCGAGCGTACACGATAGCAGTACCGCTCGGTAAGGAATGGAAAATTCCTTACAGGCCAAAGGCCCGCTAACCAATAGCGAATTCTAAGCAAACAAGGGTTTGCCATCCAATATGCATTATAGATTTGTTTTTGTCTTCCACAAATAACAATGGTAATAAAGAAAGACCGTATATGCATGCAAAATATGTGATTTCTACACTCTGTCTCTCTTTGCAAATTTGCGACGATAAAACGCAGAGAAAGCATGCCGTACCGGTATTTGAGTGTTTAATGGAGCAACCATCTACACGTGCAATTCCAATATCGTGTTGACATATGTTGTGTCAAGACGAAAAATAACGGATAATAATAAAAAAATACAAGGCGTTTGAAATGCGTATATATGTGCTCTTCCATAAAGCTCCGTCCTTTAAAATATGATGGTGAGTATATTCTCTTTATGACTAGATGTTGGCGCTGTTGCACCATGGACCAATGTGCAGGATGCTACTAGCGAAACACACCACGCCACACACGGTACTTCTCCATGACACCCAGATCTGATTGGCAATTCCCTCGAAATCTCCTGACCTTATTTGGACGGGACCGTTGGATTTTAGAGCAGTCTATATTAGTTTGTTGCTTTCGTCAGCTCTTCATCAGTGTGCCTGCTTCCCGATCCCTCGTGCAATTTGACCGAACCGATTCTCTGAGTCAAGGTTATTATTCTTCTCGCGTAACCTCGCGATGAAGATAACGTCAATTCTGATTCTCAAGGATGTGGAAGGTTCGGAGCCGGTCTTGCTAGCGAGTGCCACGGACCTCAGCAGCTTCGGCTACTTCCAACGAGGCACGGTGAAGGAGATGATCTGGTTCGTTTCGCGAACCATCGCAAGACGAACACCTCCTGGCCGGCGACAGAGCGTCGAGCACGAAGGTCAGTGATCAAGCGACGTGGATTTTTCATTGATTTCACACGGCTCGTCGACCTCGCGTCAAAGCGTCGAGAGGCGGAAGGGCATGCGGAGGGAGAGAGGGTCCAAGGGACAGGAAGAGTTAGAACGACAGGCAAAGTTTGAGAGTTACGTTATAGGAGTTAGCGCGGATGGTGCGACGGGCCGAGGGAATGCAGGGAGTGGACAGACGAGAGAGGAACGAAGGAAGGGGTGGAGGGGAGAGGGTGTCAGGGGGCCGGGGAGAGGGTGTCAGGGGGCCGGGGAGAGGATGTCAGGGGGTCGGGGAGGCAACGGGGGAGGGAGACGGGATGGGAGGTCAGATGGATGCATGGTAGCATGGATGCATGGTAGCATGGATGCATGGTAGCATGGATGGATGGATGCATGGTAGCATGGATGGATGGATGCATGGGTTGACATGGATGCACGGATGGATGGATGGAGATGGAGGAGGGCAGGCATAGCGAAGGAACGGCAGGAATAGAGATGCGCGTTTCCAGGAGCGACAGGCGGGGAATGAGGCAGACAGGACACTGGATTGACAGACACGGCGGCTGCGAAATAACCCGGTTGGTCGACGCTCTGTCGCGGCGTCGACTAATATATGAATATTCCTGAAGCCGCGTCGCTTGATGACTCCCCCCTTCCGCCGCTCCCTTTCCCTGATCATCCTTCCCCCGCCTTCCTCCCCCCCCCTTCCCCATCGCAGAGTACCTGGTGCACTGTTACAACCGTAACAACCTCGTCGGCATGGTGTTCGCCAACGCGGCATATCCAACGCGCAGTGCCTTTTCGGTGATCAACAAGGTGAGGCGCTCTTGGGTAAGACTTGACGCCTCAAGATCAGCCCTATTCTATCCTACCCTACCCTATCCTATCCTATCCACCACCACGCAGTGCCGTCTTGGCGTACTCCTTGGCCTCCAAGGCGAGATGCTGCTGCCCGTCTTGGATGCACCGGCACCCCTCCCCTTGTTGTTTCAGCGAGCGTCGCTCTCGACACACCCACAGTCCCATTCGCCGCCCAACCACTTGGTGGCTTTCTTTCTTTCTAGTCAGATGATAATACAGTTTCGACGCCTCTTGAAACTACAGCATTTTCTTGTCGCACCCACAGTCCCATTCGCTGCCCAACCACTTGCCGGCTCTCCTTCTTTCTATCCCTTCCCACAGTCCCATTCTCTCCTTTCCCGTCGCCTTTGCCCCTTCCCTGCTCCCCGTTCCCCTCTCCCCGTTCCCCTCTCTCCGTTCCCCTCTCTCCGTTCCCCTCTCCCCGTTCCCTGTGGCTCTCACTTCTCCCTTCCACTTTTGCCCTTCCTCCCTTGGTTGGACCCATCTTCTTGTGCGCCCTCACTTGTCCTCTTCTCTTTTTTCCGCTTCTCATTTCTCCTGCCCACCTCCTACCTTCCTCACCTCTTTCTCATCTCTCCCTTCCTTCACCCTCCCTCAACGTTTCTCTTCCACTTCCCCTTCTAAAAAAAAAAAAAAAAAAAAAACCGCTTCCCCCCCCCTCCCACCTTCTCCCACCTTCCCCTCTCTCTCCATATCTATCACCGTCCGCATCCTCACATGCTCAGGCGCTGGATGACCACGTGGCAGGGAAGGGTGACTGGTGGGTGCAGGGGCGACAGCGGCCAGCAGGGAGCAGCACGCCTTCCTTGAAACGTCTCACTATTCCCCCCTCTCGCCTCTCCGTTCGCAACCATCCGCATCCCCACGTGCTCAGGTGATGAGGACTATGTGGCCGCAAAGGGTGACTCGTGGATGCAGGTTACAGTGGTCGACAGGGAGCAGCAGGTTTTGGTCGAAGAACAAACTCGTTCCTCAGGACGGGAGTAGCTCGCGTTTTCAGTCATCTGAAAACTGCCCCTTCTCCCCGCAACCATTCGCATCCCCGCGTGCGCAGGTGCTTGACGACTACGTGGCAGCAAAGGGCGACTCGTGGATGCAGGCCACAGTGGACGACAGGGAGCAGCACGCCTTTCTGGAAGAAGCCATTGCCAAGTTCCAGGTCAGCAACCAACAAGAATGGTCGGGGGGGGGGGGGTTGGGGGGAGGGGGGCGGCTGCGAGGGGTCTAGCTTTGAGTCGCCACAAGAATGGCCAGCAAGCAGGTGGGCTAGGAGCGAGGCGCCAAAAAAAGGGACTGCAAGCAGAGGGGTGGGCGCGGGGAGGGCAGTGGTTGGCATGGCATACACAGGGCAGGCGAGGAGGAGGTGGGATGCTAGGCGCAAGGGTATAGGCTGGCCAGTGTGCTAAACGCACTAACAGGCCAGAGCATACGCTGGCCAGGCCACTGTGCGCTAAGCACAAGGCTAGGTGTACTTCGAGTCGACTCAGAATACAGCTGGCCAGTGTGCTAAGCGCACTAATGGGGCAGTCACCAGTGTGCGCTTAGCACAAGGCTGTGGAACCTCGTGCATGCTTTGGCATGGCTCGTCTTTGTCTTGGCTCGTCTTTGTCGTTGACTTCCAGTAGCTTCATACGAGCTGTGCTGGCACTTACTTCATCCTTCCATATGGTTTGCCTCCTGTATTGCGTGTGTGTGGCACGTGGCTTGTGTGTTTGACCCCTGGTTCGTGCATGCGTCATGGGTTGTGTCTGTGGCATCTCGTTTTGCACGCACATCTGCACGGCATCTGATCCGGACGCACAACTGCACGGCATCTGGTTCGCATGTACATCCGCATGGCATCTGGTTCGCATGTACATCCACATGGCATCTGGTTCGCATGTACATCCACATGGCATCTGGTTTGCATGCACATCCACATGGCAGGATCCAGTGGAGGCGGACAAGCTGATGAAGATTCAAAAGGAGCTCGATGAAACCAAGTTCATTCTGGTCTGTGGCCCTGCCCTCGTTGCCCTGCCCTCGTGGCCCTGCCCTCGTTGCCCTGCCCTCGTGGCCCTGCCCTCGTTGCCCTGCCCTCGTTGCCCTGCCCTCGTTGCCCTGCCCTCGTTGCCCTGCCCTCGTTGCCCTGCCCTCGTTGCCCTGCCCTCGTTGCCCTGCCCTCGTTGCCCTGCCCTCGTTGCCCTGCCCTCGTGGCCCTGCCCTCGTTGCCCTGCCCTCGTTGCCCTGCCCTCGTTGCCCTGCCCTCGTTGCCCTGCCCTCGTTGCCCTGCCCTCGTTGCCCTGCCCTCGTTGCCCTGCCCTCGTTGCCCTGCCCTCGTTGCCCTGCCCTCGTTGCCCTGCCCTCGTGGCCCTGCCCTCGTTGCCCTGCCCTCTTTGCCCTGCCCTCGTTGCCCTGCCCTCGTTGCCCTGCCCTCGTTGCCCTGCCCTCGTTGCCCTGCCCTCGTTGCCCTGCCCTCGTTGCCCTACCCTCGCCTTCCCATGCATGCCTCTTCAACATGCGTTCCTTTGTGCCCCCCACCTCCCCTTCCCCTCCCTCCTCCCCTGCCTCCCCCCTCGCATTACACAACCCACACCCCACGCCCCACATCCCACACCCCCTATCCCCCCCCTCCTCCTCCACTCTTACCTTTGTGAGAGGAGGTCGGATTTTGCGCGAGGCACTCTTACTCACTACCCTCTCTGTGCTGCCCGTCCCCTCTCCCTTGTCTTCGATGCGCGTAAAATACACACTCCTTCTAACCCCCATCTCTGTGCTGGTGTGTGTGTGTGTGTGCATGTGTGTACCCCCCGTGGCATGCAAGCAGCACAAGACGATAGACAGTGTGTTGGAGAGGGGCGAGAAGCTGGACACTCTGGTGGAGAAAAGCAACGACCTCAGCATGGCCTCGCAGGTGGGGGGGAAATGGGGCAGGAGACAGGGGGGAAGAGGGGGGGGGGGGGAGGGGGGAGGTTGGGGGGGGAGCGAAGAATGTCATGAGGGACAGGAGGGTTAGGAGTGGCATGGTATGTGACTGAGAAGAAAGTGTGTGAGAGAGGAGAGAGGAGAGGAGAGAAGAGAGAGGAGAGGAGAGGAGAGAGGAGAGAAGAGAGAAGAGGAGAGGAGAGAGGAGAGGAGAGGAGAGAGGGAGAGAAAGGCATGACACATCGATATGCTTCTTGCTGGCTTGTGCCTCTCTCACTGCGTGCCACCAAGTTCCGAGGCGCTTTGCCAGGTGCTAGGATAAAATGTCTCCTCGCGCTGCTGACTGAGACCACTTTTGAGGTGCCTCAAAGGGCGCTAGGATCGCATGTCTCCTCGCACTGCTAACTGAGAGGCCAGCTCCCGGCATGGTCAAGATGATCCATTGCTGTCTGCTGATTGAAACTCAGTACCATTGCATTTACGCGTTGCCTCTCTGCTTGACCTCCCTGCTTGCCTCTCTGCTTTGCCTCTCTGCTTTGCGTCTCTGCTCTGATTCTGTGCCGTTCTCTGTCCGCTTGGTGCTTGCAGCTCTTTTATCAGCAAGCCAAGAAGAACAACCAGTGCTGCAAGTTGGTGTAAAAAGAGAGTGTTTTTGCAACACTGTACCCTCCCTCGGAGAAAAACATCAGAGCCATTCTTTCCAGAGTACCAGTATGGTATCAGTTTGCTGTACAATGCTGGTTAAAAAATCTATTGATATGCATGTAGCCGTTAGTAGTACCATCTAGTTCAATCTGCTGGTGTGTGGGTGCATTGACCAATGCTGGAGTGGAGTTGAGTTTATGAGTAAGGGAGTCTGTGTGCAGGCCACATACACGTCTGCTCTAGCTTGGAAAGATCCACCTTTGCCCAGCCTTCCAGCAAGCACCTATCGAATTCTACCCGCACACATGCCTCCATTCCACCACCACGAGCTGGTGGGTAGGCTAGGCTATGCGCCACCGAGCTTTAGTACTTGCATCGCAGTCGACAACAAAGGGGTTGAGAAGGCTCACAACACCAAGTCGCCCACAGCCATGACGAGCTCAGAGGACCACCTCGCCCCCTACGATTCAGAAACACCCGATGGTACGGTAGGTGGATAAGCGCCTCAGGCCTCTAGTAGGTGCAGTCCACAACAAAGGGATTCAGCAGGTTGACAAAGTCATCCACAGCCATGGCGAGCTTGAGGTCCACCTCGCCTCCCCCCATCCAGAAGTAGCGCGGGCGCAGGGCCAAGATGCGATCCGATAGGATCACCTGGAGGGGGCAAGGGAAGGGAAGAGAAGAGAGGTTTTTGTAACATGCAGAACGCGACCATTGCGTGCAAAGCAAAGCAGGCTACGTACAGAGCGAGCAAGCAAGCTAGTTGGTTGATGAGTGCACACATGTGGGAGCATGTGTATGTGTGTGGGGGGCAGGGGAGGGAGGGGGGAGAGGGGGCAGGGAGTGAGGGGGGGCGTGTGTGTGTGTGTGTGTGTGTGTGTGTTTGTGTGCATGGTACGTGAGCAACGGAGGGAGGGACAGTGAGGGTAAGAGAGGAAGGTGTGCTGGGATGGGGGTGCAGCAAAGAGAGGAGAGAGTACCGGGATGGGAGTGCAGGTGCCGATGGGAGCAACGGCATTGTGCTCAAAGCCCGTGAGAGCCATTGAGTCTTCCTCAGGGGCCAGGCGCACTGATGGGAGTGGGCAATCAGGGAATCAAGGGATCAGGCTATCAGGCCATCAGGCTATCAGGCCATCAGGCCATCAGGCCAGTTGTATTTTGAGTCAAGTCAAAATACGGCTATCAGGCTATCAGGCAATCAGACAGGTATGAAATACGAACAAACACGTGTGGCAGCAGCACTCCAGATCGATGCGAGCAGCACGCATCACTGGAGATGCACATTTGGGAACACAACAAAAGGGGGGAGAAGGGAAAGCGGAATGACGGGGGGGACCGGAAATCTCAGGAGAGGCGAGGAACGAGTGGATTCCAAGAAAGATGTGTGCTCCACTCCACGGCACGGCTCGAGTGTTCCACTCCACGGCAGGCAGGGGCACTCCACTCCACGGCAGGCAGGCAGGGGCCAGGTGTCAGTGATGTGATGCCATGTGGAGCGGTGTGAGGGCATGTGGAGCCGTGTGAGGGCATGTGGATGAGGCTTGTGAAGGAACGAATGCGATGTGAATGTAAGGTGTGGTGTATGCACGGCACGAATCCCGAATCACGAATCGTGACTCACTATTGATTCGCTTCTTGGGCAACTTGCCCTCGTTGAGATCATACACAAAGTTGCGCACTTTCTCTGCATTCAGGCGCGCAGAGTACTGCGCCGCGAGAGGGGAGTGGGGAGAGGCAGAGACAATTGAGGCGTCTCAAGAGTTGGGCATGGTGCCCTCGTTGAGATCATACACAAAGTTGCGCACTTTCTCCGCATTCAGGCGCGCAGAGTACAGCAGTGGGAGGGGAGTGGGTTCGAACGAAATGTGGCCATAGATTAGGGCAATGAGACGGGGGGAGGAAGGGTGGTAATGGGGCAGGCAACAAAGAGTGGAGGGGAGTGAGTTATCAGGACTTTCTTTTCCCCCCCCAGTGGAGTAAGGTGCCTGGACGAGCAACTGGTCAGAGCACTCATGGCTTTTTTTTCCCTTTTTTTTGGGGGGGGCTTTAAGGAGATCCCAGGAGGAAACCAGGCCCCCTTTCCCACGCCGATCCACCTGCGAACCCCTGGGGGAGACCCCCTGGCGCCCAAGGCTTCACCCGTGTTGCGGAGGGTAGGCGGTCCGGAGAGCACTCATGGCAGCTGTTCGCATCACCTGACACGGCAACGATGCACAGCTGCCATGGTCACAGGCACTGCACCTGAAAGACAATGACCCATCATTGTACGTTTGAGCTGGCTGCGCTCACGAGTCATCCCACGATCCATCACCTGACTGACAGACACAGCGATGAAGGTCCTTTTTGAGGCGCCTCAAAAATCATCCCACGATCCATCACCTGACAGGCAGACACGGCGATGAAGATCCGCCAGTTCCCCCCCCTGCACCTGAATCGCCATGGCGTAGTGCTTTTAGATCAACTGGAAAGGCCTCTTATCACCCGACAGACAGATACGGCAACGATGCACTGCGCACAGGCACGTTTTGAGGCGCCTCAAAACCAGACAGACACAGCAACGTTGTACTGCGCACAGGCACTGCACTGCACCTGAATCACGATGACGTAGTATTTGGAGTTGCGCGGGTTGCTGCAGTCAACCACATCGGCAGGCGCCTGCGTGTTGGTCTGGTGTAGAGCGGGGAAGGGAAGGGAAGGGGAGGGGGGGGGGGGGGGAACGGGAAAGGCGGAAGGCGTGGGAAGGAGACTAGGCTTGGGAAGGAGACTAGGCTTCGGAAGAGACTAGGCTTGGGAACGAGAGTAGGCTTGGGAACGAGAGTAGGCTTGGGAAGGAGACTCAATTCGGGATGGAGACTAAATTTGGGAAGGAGACTATCTATGGGAAGGATACTAGGGGAAAGAATACGGCAAGGGCGAATGCGAGGAGGCTTGAGGGAGTGTCGGGGGAGGGGGGAAGGGGGGATGGAGGGATGGAGGGAACGAGGCGGGTATGGTATGGGGAATGAAAGGGAGGGTGGGGGGATGGCAACCGACACCATGTGCTAGTAGCGACGAAAGGACGTCAATCGTGATGCGTGACAGTGAGACAGGTAAGGTGTGTTGCAACCTATGTTGCAACCTATGTTGCAACTCATGTTGCAACCTAAGCTGCAGCATACATGGGTTGGATCTAGAAGGTTTGCATGATGGGATCTAGAGGGTTTGAGGATCCCTAGACGTGTCGATTGGTCATCCTGACGTGGCAGCAAGCTGCAGAGGCCACAAGATGAGATGATAGGCGACAAATTATAACGACCATGCGGTGTACAAATCCCAGCCCAAACATAGCAAGCCGGACCAAACCTCGCATTCCAGACCAAACCTGGCATTCCAGACCAAGCCTCGCATTCCCACCCAAACCTCGCATTTCAGACCAAACTTCACCTTTCCAGGCGAACCTAGCCTTTGACCCTTGGTCGCACCATGACGATGCTCTTGCATAGGTGGTCAACGGACGGCGCGCCGAGCGCATCCCGCCGCGCCTCAAGCGTCCAGTCGTAGTAATCCGACGGCACGCGCCGAAACCGGAATCGCGAGATCCCTCCCGCTCGAATCGCGTCGGCGAGCCGCGCCTGCGTGGCGGTCTCGTCCCCTGCTGCCACGTCACCAGGCACCGGACCCTCCAGATCCGACAAATCATCGCCTCCCGCCTGCGACGCGTGCCCGGAAGGAACGGCGCGAGAAGCGGCAGCGGAAGGTTCGAGCCAGCTTCGTTGCGCGGCAGCGGTGATCGCGGAGAGGCGGTCTGTGAGTTGGTCGATGCGGGAAAGAAGGGCGGTCTGACGCGCCTCGAGCTGCTGCGCGGCATTATCGAGGTCAGGCGACATGGCGACGCGAGGCTTAGACGGAGATGATTGGAGGGAAATAACACGTGGCAGCACCAGAGGGGCAGGGCAATTTTGGCCTGGTTTTCGGTGAAAGGAGGATGTGGTGATTTATTCCGTGTCAACTCAGTTGAAGCTGCTCGGCGAAGATTATTATGGGATAGATAATGAATATCTTATTACAAAGTAAAGGAGTCGCACGTTACATGAAAAAACGAACGAATAGGCTTATTGGAAAATGGGAAAAAAAATCTATGTGAATGAATGAAATAATGAACTGGCAACACTTACTATATCTATGCCCCAAACCCGAAACCCTTAGGTGCTCCTTGATTCTTCTAGCTCTCTGCTTGTCCCTCTGTTAGATCCGTCGCTTCTTGGGGACCCAGCATCCTCCATGTGGTTAAGAATAGCATCCAAATCAAAGACCCCTTGCAGGCTCCACACCTCATCCCTATCTCCTTCCATGGCTGCGTCGTTTGTCGCTGTGCCCACTGAAGCAGTGCCAGTCGCACCATCAACAACTCCAGCAGCAGCAACAGCAGGGGTAACAGGTGCACCAGCAGCACAAGAAGAAAAGAGCGCCATGTCATTTGAGGCAGGCAAGCCTTCAGTAGGCAAATGCTGGGCCTCTGTTGCACCAGTATGCCTTCCCATACCCGTCCTCATGTCCCACCCATTATTATGCGTCATGGTTGCATAATGCCCGGGTGTCCCAGTGACGCCTACCCCCCAGTCCCCTAAAAAGCTCAGCTGCATGGGGGAGATCAGCACGCCTGGCACTAGCACCGCCCCACGGCGCGTCTCAGATGTGAAAAGGAGAGGGAGGAGGAGTGATTGCATGTCCTCTTCATCGCCCCCCCCAGTACCACCTCCTTCCCCTGCTCCTGTCACTGCTGCTTCCAATGGTGCCTCTGCTGCTGTTGCTGCTGCTAGTGGCACTGCCATCGCCGCTGCTGCCACCGCACTTGCCGCTGGTGCTGCTGCGGGTGCTGCTGCGGGTGCTGATTTTTTTGTTGGTGCTGCAGCTGTCGCTGGTGGGCTTGCTGTCATTTCTGCAGAAGCCGCCGCTTCTGCTGCTTGAGTCACCGCCGCTGCTTCGGCAGCTGCAGCCGCCACCAGGCACTCTCCCCAGCTCGCCTCCTCTGCCTCCTCTGCCGCCTGTGCCTCCTCTTCCTCCTCTTCCTTTTCTGCATCCCCTACCTCCTCTTTCCCAACAATCCCATTGTCCATGCGATCAATTTCCATGAATTGGTAACCAGCAGTAGCTGGAGCAGGGATCGCAGTGAGAAAATCAGCAGCAGCAGTAGCAGCAGAGGGAGCACCGGCAGGGAAAGGCACAGCAGTTCTGGCGGAATCGGGAGTGTCAGCAGCAGCTGCAGAGGGGATCGGCTTGGTATTCCTAGACAGAGGGGGGAGTGAGAGCCGGAGCGTGCTGTCAAGAGCACCCAGGCCGTCTCTCAGGCGCCCCTCCCTGCCGCTTTCCATGCACCTGCTGATGCTCCTCTGCAAACAGCTGATACTCTGCTGCTGCTGCTGTTGCCTCTGCGCGCGCGCCTTCTCGCTCGCCGGTCCCTCCTGCGTACCAGCAAGGGTGGCAGAGAGAGACGCGGCAGCAGAAGAGATCGTGCCCGCAGCTCCTGCTGCTGCCGCTGTTTCTGCCGCCGCCGCTGCTGCTGCTGCAGCAGCAGCTGGTGCTACTGCTGTGGTCGCTGTGGTTGCTGAGTGCGGGTCAACTGTTGGCGCGCCTGCTGCAACTGCAGCCGTTATTGCTGCTGCCGCGGCAGCCACAGCAGCTGTAACAGGGTGAGATGAGGAAGTGAAGGAGTAGGAAGACGCGGACAGGAACGCGGCCACTGTGGCGGGAGGGAGGGCGCCGTGCCTGCAGGGGGAGTTGGCACGCGCAGCAGCAGACGGGGAGCTGGCACGCGCGGTAGCAGAGGGAGAGGCGGCGCAGGCAGGCAGCTGACCACGTTGAGTGGTAGCAGTGGTAGCAGTGGTAGCAGCAGCAACGTGCTGCTGTGCCGCCATTTGTCCTGGGAGGGGGTGTGGGGAAGCCTCGTCTGGCACCTCCCAACGCTGCGCCTGCTGCTGCTCTCGCTGCTGCTGCTGCTGCAGCCACTTGTGCTGCTGCTGCTGGTGCTGCTGCAGCCACTTGTGCTGCTGCTGCTGCGCCGATCGGTGAAGGAAGTGTGATAGGCTCTGCTTTACAGGGACGTGCTCAGACGACAGAGGAGCAGGGTGGTGGCGCGACGCAGGCAGCGAGAGGGACGACTGAAGCGCTCGCTTAATCGGGGGTCTAGCAGTGGCCACTCCAGCAGAACCTGCGGCCGCAGTAGCTGTGGCAGTCGCAGATGCTACTGCATCCTCAGTTGGCATCCCGGCGGGTTCAGAGCACCCGAGGGAGGAAGATGAGGCGGAGATAGAGAGAGACGCGGCAACGTCAGCACCACCAAAGGCGGCTGCTGCTGCCGCCGCTGCAGCTGCGCCTGCGGCGGTGCGTGGTGGGCCAATGCGAAGCGGAGACATCGGCACCGGCGCCGGCGCCGGCGTCAGCGATGGCGACGCTGTCAGGCGCCTTATGCTCTCGGCTGCCGTCCACGCCATGCCTCCAGCAGGGGTAGTCGGTGCCGACGAAGCTGTAGCAGCAGGAGGAAGCCTGGCGCCTCCTCTCAGCCATGCCGTGCCAGCCAGGGCGGAGGCAGGCGGCGAGGGATGCTGCTGCGACGCCACTGCTGCCACAATGGCCGCCGCACCGTGATGGTGCACCCATGAAGCTGCACCACCACCACCTGCGGCGGTGGTATATGGCGAGCGCGTGCCGGATCCTGAGGCTCGTAAGTCCCGGCTGCGACTCGCCATGAGCGCCTCTGCGTCCGAGTCGCAGTGCTCCAGAGCCGCCTCTGCCGATGCAGCGCGCTTCCACGGGCGCCGCCATGACTCGGAGTCTGCCCCACCAGCACCAGCAGCGGCGGTGGCTTCGGCGGCGGTGGCGGCGGCGGCGCCGAACGGTTGGTGACGCTTTCTCTTGGCGGCGCTGCTCTGCTCTGCCGCGCTGCCGGTGCTGGTGTCGTCGTCGCTGCTGCCGCAGGGGTCAGGCGAGCTGCACGCAGCCGAAACGCGCTGCTGGCTGGTGCTGCTAGGAGTAGCAGTAGCAGTAGGAGTAGGAGTAGAATTAGGCGTCGGGGTAAGAGTACGCGCATGATCCACGTTCATCGGCGCGACGTTTCTCCTCAAACTGCCCCCGTCGCCGCCGTCGCCTCCTTGCTCCCCGCCTCGTCCGCTCAAGTTTACTCCCGATTCCACGCGGATCTGCGTCTGCCCGCCGCACCCACCGCCGCCGCCGCCCTCGACCCCCAACTGCAGCTTAACCGCCGCCTCTTTGCTCGCGCGGAGCAGCGCTTCCGCGGTGCCACGTGGCAGCGCCACGGGGGCCGGGCGCTCCCCGGGGAAGTTGAGCTTGGCGGAGCGGCCGCGCAGTAAGCGCGCCGCCATATCGTAGACGCGCGCCGCCTCTTCCGCGCTATTGTAGCTGCCGAGCCAGATGCGATTTCCGTGCACCGGCTCTCGGATCTCGGTAACCCACCGGCCCCAGCGCCGCTGTCGCACGCCGCGGTAGCGCGGGCCGCCGCTGGCGTCGCCGTCATCGCCGCTGTTGTTTCCGCCGTCGCCACACGTCGCCTGCGGATTTTGCAGCGACGATGTCGCATGCGACAACTCGCGTCGTTTGGGGGCCTGAGTTGGCGGCGACGCGATCGGCGAAGCCGCCTGAGTCTCCGGGAAGACAAGCTCTTCTTTCATGGTATTATGAAGCGCAGTAAGCTCCGGCTTAGTTTCGTCCCTCCTCTGCTGCTCCTCGATTTCGCCGGCAATGGGATTTTTCTCGTCCGCGGTAGTAGTACGAGCTTCCCTCCCGACTGATGTTTCAGCCGCACGGCCTTGCGGGTGGTGCTGGTACGTCTGCTGCTGCTGGTGCTCCGGATGCTGATGGCTATGGAGATGTCGATTGTGATGCCCCAGGGAGCTACTCCTGCTAGTAACCGCAATCATCGCATCTGCTCTGCAACTGCTTCACGCGTTACGACCTCCGGAAGGATCACTACGAGCTTTGCTGTTCTCCGCTATGCGGATGAAAGTAGTCTCTGTCCCCGTCCAGTATGCAGTGTACCTTCCGTCCGTATGCTCGCTGTCGCTCTCTCTGTGTGGATTGCGTGCCTTTCGAGCCTGTCTTTCGTAAAATGGACCTGGAGTCTGGGGGGGAGATGATAAAAGACTGCAGCTGCGCAATCCCCACTTTCTGCCGTGTTTCTGACTGCCGTGTCAAGGGAAGCAATTTCAGACTGGCTAGGGCATGCCTGGACTGGCCTCGTTTCAGCTAGGTGCGGGCGAAACGACCGACGAAACTATTGACTTCGCGCACTGACGAAAACAGAATGTGCTTGCATCGCCGGGGGTGCCAGCTTCGCGAAAACCCTGTATGGTAACTCGTTGGGCCGATGATTCCCTCCAAGGACGGGTTCCGATCCGAGTCGCGCGTTCTCAACAAGGAAGGATGGGATGGGCATGGGTGGATGGCCTTGCTTGCAGCATTCTTGCCTGCAGATGTTGGGGCAACATTTTTTTCCCACACGTCGATGGGTCTCGTGACCGAGCCGCGAATTCTTTCTTTCCAAACCTCTGCTCGAAGAAGGCTGTGGTAGGTGAGTTGACGAGCGACTGAGGGGATGCCACGTAGGAGAGACTCGGAGACCAGGTCAGCGATAGCAAGACATGATTGGGCAGATGTATTTTGGGACTATGGAGGTGTGTAACATTTGGCGTCTTGTACGTAGACCGTCAACGTAACAGTCAACCTGGTACAAATGACAATCTGGCTCCACCTGCACGTCAGGATGTTTCTTTGAAACGTCGCGCATCAAATGACGACCTCCTAGAGTCTAACAACCAATGGTAAGTGACTGAAATTCCGTTGATTGCGCGAAAGCCACCTGCGATGCGAACTTAGACCTACGGAAGGACTTCCGTCAACAACCAGCCGATAGACCTGAATCAACGGCCGCAACTCGAGCTCGTTGGAGCTTTCTGCATTCGATACCGATAGTAAAACTGGTCTCCCCAGTGCCAACTGGGTTTGCAACTGTGCATTGGTACAAGCAAATGTTGTCTTAACAACAAACAACATATGTATTTGATACCATATGTTTTGTCTTGCATTGCTTTGCCACATCGCCATTTATCCAAGGAAAAAGGCACATGCTGGACTGAAATGCTGGGGGTTGTTTACTGAATCCCATATATGCGATGAGAGACCAACACAACACATATGTATTCAAGTCAACATTGCTTATTGTCTAAAACACTAGGGTAGGGATCAAATGAAACCGATTTTGTCTCAATCGTTGCTTACAATGCATTCACACACATACAGCATAGCCTTCTCACCTTTGCACATGCCTGGACGATCTCATCTCACATCGAGCACGAGGGGCGGGCGTTGCTCGGAGTACCCAAAGATAGTTTCGTTAATAGGACCATGGGGTATATCCCAATATTCCGTACACACCTTTTTCTTGCTATCTCCTCGTGGGTTAGCAGCTGGCCGATGCTGCTTGGAGAAAGTCTCTCCCTCAGGACCCTGAGCTTTCTTGACGACTGTGTGTCTCGTTGTTGCCGAATTTGCTGAGATGGATGCATCCGAAGGAGGAGTTCGGCGTTTTTGCAGCTTCTTGTAGACCCCCAGCTTCCTGTTGAGCTGCTTCAGCTCCACCGACGTCTTCCCTGGGGAACGGGTAGTCGTTGTGGGCTGGTGTCGGGAGAGGATGTTGTCTCCGTACAAAGGTCGACTTCTTTCCACACTCCTTAATTTGTCCCCAAGGTTTCCGGTACCTGTATGATCTCCACAAGTTTCTGCTTCTTCTGGAGTCCCTCCCGAAATTTCTCCAAGGCTCTAGCCCCTCGAGAATCATAAGTTTTCATTAAAGCATCTTTATAAAAACAACTTTAACGAATCCTTATAATTTCTTGGGTCTTCTCGGAGTTTCCCCATCTCGGCAGAGTCCTTTTTCGCGGAGTCAAATTTTTTCTCGGCGATTTTCTCTGGCGAAGACTGGTCGTGGGGTGGAGATTTTTCCCTACCATTTCCTCCCGCTCGCGCCGAATTAGCTTCATTGATGTTGATTTTCCTGAAATCCCACGGCTGCTTTCTGATATTTTCTTTTTCGCCAGCTAGATCCGCAATTACTGGCGAATTCCGTTTTTTGTCTTCTGATTGGCCGAAGAATTTCCGCCACTGTTGCGTGCCCGATACTCTGCTCGTGCAGCTTTCATTTTGTTGCAGTCGAAGATTCGATGGCCCGGCACCCCGCAAAAATCACACGTGTAGTTGGTGTTTTTCGGACGTGGCCGCCCGTCGAACCTGTCGATTTCTATCGGGTCGGCGAACGTGGGGTGAGCCGAGAGGTCGCCCTGTCGCGTACTACCGACGTGCGCTCACCGTGTTCCGACGTTGACCATGTCAAACCGCTTTGCTGCCAAAACGACGTCACTGTAGCTCGCGTAATTTGTCGCTGCTACTTGTCGCTTGACTTCGGTCTTCAGCCCGGCGAGATACGACTACACTTCCGAAGTACATAAGGTAACCGGGTTTATCCTATCCAAAGGGAATAGACCCTTCTAGAAATAGAATCACCCTGCGTATAGCCACGCGAGGCTATTGGCTCTAAGGGATTACAACAAGATTACGCTAGATATAGCGTGCCAGTACATCCGGAGCCTGGTCGGTGATATAAGTAAAATAATAGGATAACCCAAAGGATAACGAGAAAGGAGGAATAGGAAACCAAATGGGATGAGATAAAGATCGAAGGAATTAGGATAATTAAAAAAATGAGGTAGAGGAAAAAGATGGAAATGAGAATGAGGTGTAACGGTGTCGTACTCTCACAACGACAGAACTGTCCAAGTCGACCAGAGGCGAACTCGCCACCACGGTTGGAGTGGAGACACATCACAGGGAGACCGCGGTGGAGGCGCGCAGCTACGATCCACGGGATAAGAGCGTCAGGCACGTCGGCCTTCCGCTCCAGAGGAAACACTGTGGTGTTGCGCGTGTAGTCGTCGACGAGCACGAGAAAGTAGCGCTCGCTACGCGGCCCAGGGACGGGGGCCGGGCCCCAGACATGAGCGAGGAGCTGTGGTAGGGCGAAGCGAGGAGGAGTGAGGAGCACGGCGCAGCCGGCCCTCGACGCAGGGAGTGCATGGCGGCACAGGCGAGGGAGGGAGGGCAGGGAGCAATGCAGGGAGACCTAGAACGCAGACGCGGGAGTGCGGGGTGACCTAGGCGGCGATGCCATAGAAGCGACGGGTGAGTGAGCGACCGATACGAGCAAGCCGCAGTGACCTGCGTAGACGCAGGACCCGGGGAGGACGTGCCCACCGAGGGGAGAGCAGTGTCCATCGTAAACAGGCTAGACACAGGGTCCCGAGGGAACATCGCAAGGGGGGCACTTGAGGCGGCCTCGGTACAGACAGCGTATCGCTCGTGACCAGGGAATGTAGTGATGACGCCGAGGTCCTGAAGACAGTCGACACCAACTAAGTTTCTGGAAAACGAAGGGATGTGCAGGCTTTTAAGAGAACCCGTGGGAACCGTTGGACAGGGAAGGGTAGTGTAGCTACAGGCAACAACAGGACCAGAGGAGGGTTCAACAAGTGCGACAGCGGCAGGCGCTGCAAGCGGCGTGAGTGAGGCATGGTCGTGGAAGAAGTAGGCAGACGCACCAGAGTCAAGCGTAAAGGACAGCGAAACAGAGGCTGCGGCCGGAAGAAGAGCGAGCATAGAGCCTAGGCTAGATAAGGCAGAAGGTCCTACGCCTGACGCAGCAGGGGAGTTTGTACTACACACAGGTACTACACCTAAACTAGATAAAACATGGTAATAAGATCCGGGAAGACTAGAAGCACCAGCATACAGAGAATGCAAGGCATAACAAATCTGATCCATATCTAACTCAAAGACATGCACACCGTGACGCAGCGGACTGGGTTAGTCAGGGAGGTCCGGGGCCGGGCCGAAGCGACGACGAAAGAGGTCGTCGAGGCGGCGGAAGCAGCGGGCAGTCGGGTGCGGGCGACGACACAGTGCCGCGGAGGGGGCCGGTCTGGAGCTGGTACTGGCAGCTCACAGCACCGAGGCTGCCTTCCGACGCCGAGCTACGAGGGCCGCCACCGCGGCCATCACCGCCAGAGGCTCTTGGCCACCCCGGCGGGAGGCGGGTCCACGAATGCTGCTGCTGCTGCTTCTGCTGTTGCTGAGACGGCTGCTGCTGGGGTGGCTTCGGCTGCTGCTGCTCCTGGGCACCAGCCCCGATCCCCTCGTCGGACCCACTGTCCCCGCCACCACCGCCACTACCACCACCCCCGCCACCACGCCCCCCCTTGGGGCCACGACGGCCCCGACGCGGGCACGGCTGCGGGGACGCCGCAGCTACGGTCTCAGTGGCAGGGGCAGTTGCAGCGATCGTGGTTGAAACGCCCGTGTACGTGCACAAGGAGGGCGCACAGCCCTGAAAGATAGGGACTGCCGCAATACTGCTCGACTGAGCGATTGTGCGCTGGCGAGTCTCTATCTCAGATAGGGCGATGACAAAGGCGGTAAGGGTGAGGTCACCTGGGTGCTGACTAAGGAAGTGGTCGCAAGCAATGGCTAAGCGGTCCGGAAGGCGCATGGCAATGAGGTAGAGGGTAGCGCATAACGATGGGGGGAAGGCGGTGAGCTGGGCGTCAGTGCTAGTGGCGTGGTAGCTAGCCTCTAGTGCACGGAGGTGAGTGGCTAGGTCAACGACAGTGGGGAAAGCGACAAGATCAGGGAACAACATAGGGAGGATCAGGTGGCCAGTAGAGGCGGAGGAGGGCGTGGAGTAGCACGAAACGACTACATGTAAGAAATCCTTGGCATTCGCGATAGCAGTGAAGCGCGGACGCTCAGAAAGGGGAAGAGCATGACTAATGGCGAATCGCGGGAATCCCAGACAGCGTGAGCAATCGCTGCAGCAGAAAATGCCTCATGCTGAGCAGCGGTGGGGTCAGCAGGGAGGGGATCAGGCGCGGGGGGGCGGGGAAGCAAGCTATCAACATGCACAGCCAGGGAGTGCACATCATGGTGCTGACCTGTAAGGTGACAGCGTAGATCGACAAGCAAGGCGGCGAAGTCGATCGCGTGCCCCTCCGCGTCCAG